CCAGTCAAATGCCAGTCTCATTCTGTCAATACACCCCAGCATTGAATAAGCCATGGCTGTCCTCTCTTATTGATGGCTCCACCTTGCTCTGGGGATCAGACTTGACACCAGCCCACATGGCCTTGACAAACTCCTTTCCATCCCTTTCTCTTTTATTCTCTGCAGGTGGACGGACCCCCGGTAGCCTTTATCTGGTTAGCTAGGTGGAGTGCACCTCCCAGAGGGCAATTTTTCTCCCCTCACATTCTCTTTTCAGTGGTTTACTTCTCAGATGAGGCATGAAGCAACCCAGTAGGAGACAAAGCTGAATCAAACATGTCCTTGAGCAAGGGACACAGCAAGACAAGAATGGAGGCTGGACCTTGCCTATTCCTACCATTCCCCATCATGGAAGGGAGAGTAGCCCTTCAACCCTATAATCTTGACTTCGTGTAGCTCCAGGTGGAAGGGTCTTTTCTCCTGTTTTATTTGCATTCAAACTTCACAAGGAATGACAGGCAGGAAGGAGCATTCCAAACACAGAAAGGCTGCCCCTCCCTTGTCTCATGCCTTGTCTGGTTGTAGTGGAACCAGCAGAACCGAGGCTGGGTTGGCCTGGTACCATCTTCATGCCAGACCAATACAGGAGGCTGTTATATAAACATAAGGAAACCACCGGGTCATCCCCCCACCCCCATAATCTGATGGGGTCTCAGAACTGCTCAGTCACCTGTGTGTTAGCCTATAGGAAGTTAGGCAGATCTCTGCCCCAACTCTCTAGGGAAGCCATTAAGCCCAGTGAGCTCAGGCATTAGTCCAGCTACAAGCTCAGCATGTACTTCCAGTTTCAAGGGGAGGGCAGGTGTCTTAGGCATAGACCTAGTGTGGTACCTCCAGCAGTAAAAGAGGGACAACAAAATACCCAACTGACACCAGAAAGCCAAGGAGGAAAGGGTACTAAAAGCTAGAAAGGAAAGGATTGTCTTCATTTTTTCTTTTCTTTTTAATTAAATAATTTTGAATTCTATTATTGTTCAAGTACACTTTTCTGCCATTTTGTTTTAATATGAAGACATTTGAAGGCAAATTGGTAGAGACAGAAAAGTAGACTGTTAAACTGGTGGTGGTCAGGAGGTTAACTGTAAAGAGGCATAAGGGATCTTTCAGGGGTGATAGAAATGGTCCACAATTGAACAGTGGAGGCAGATGCATGACTTGGTAAATTTACTAAAAATCATTGAAGTGCAGGTCTCAAACAATTAAATCTTATAATAATCTCAATAAAGTTTTTAAAAATTAAATTGCTGAGCATGCCACCTCCTTCAAGGGGAGGTGTTATGCCAGCCTCATGCTCCCAGGAGAAGATAGCCAACCCTTCAGGGAGGCCTAAGGCTCTTCCAATCTTTACCTGCCCCTTTTCCGGGCCTCTTCCCCCACCACATCTCCCACCCCACTCCCCCAGCAAACCCAAGCTGCTTCCAGTTCTCTGAGCACAGCAGGCTCTCCCAGACTCTCCCCCTTTGCTATATCCTGTGCGTGGAAGGCCCATGCCTCCTGCCTACCTGACTTGTCCTTCAGGAAATAGTGGAGAGGTTGCTTGCTCTGTAGGGTGATCAGTTCAAGCCCAGATCTCATGCTTGGACATCACCCAAGTCCTCTCTTCTGAGACTCATCTCCCCTTGGGCATGTCTCACTAATTGCTATTAACCCTGGGGTCCTGGCCTCAGAGGTACTACATACTCTCCCTTCTCCTCCTCCTCCCTCCCTTCAGCCCCAAATGCAACCTTATGGTCAAGACCAGACTGGAACTATTAAAGTTCAGGATCACTGCTCAGGGAGTATCTGGGTTCTGAAAGACAAGCAAGTTGCCAACAAGGAGGGAGGTATATGAGACATGAGGGTAGTAGGCACTGCAGTCTAGCAGATCATTTCAAGAACCATGGATAGTGGCCCAGAAAGGAGCATGAGAAACTAAGATTGGAGAGGCGAGTTCATACCAAAGAGAGAGATTTGAGCTTCATCCCAAAAGTACCAAGTGGTCTTTATAGGCTTACAAGTAACAATGGCATGGTCAGATCATCTCTCTGGCCACTCTCTTCCTCTGCACGCCAACTTGACCCCAGGGCATACTTTGATACCTGAACACAGACCTCACAATAGCCCCCAAGTGGACCAGTTATGATGCAAGAAGGGGTAGTGACTGCCCCTTGATTTCCCATGAAATAGGATTAACTCAGGCATTGACACCTCCCATTCTATACTATTGCCAGAGTATGATCAGAGAGTGGGAGAATGGCTGTCAGAAGACTGGAAAACAGAGACCTGAAGATCCAGAGGCCCAAGAAAGGAAGACTGCAGAGGGGAAGCCAAGCAAGAATGGTGTACCAGCCAGAACACTGAACACAGGTGATTCTTTTCAGGGTAAAGACTCCCTGTGTGGCCAAGGGGATCGATGTTCCACTTCACTTTTGGGGTGAGTGTAGCTGTGTTTCCTGTTCATTCCTCCCCATCTATCTCAGACCAAGGCCAAGGGGAAGAGACTATCCTGAGCCTGCAGAAACCTGGGTCACTGTGGCCCTGGCCTGAGTAATGGAGAATTACTCTTTGTAAGGGGTCCCATTCCCAAAGGGGGGCCTAGAAAGACCCTCTCCAGAGTTCTCATGCACCTGTCTCTTTGCCTTTCAGGACATGGATTCAATTCTGCCAATCAGACCCACGCATGGCCCTAGGGAAATACTCCCCTTTGGAGAAAGAGATCCTAGTAAGTGTCCTGACATTTATACACAGCAAGGCCCTACTGAAGGCAGGCTGTTACCCTAGCACAGGGGTGTCCAACCTTTTGGTGTCTCTGGGCCCCAATCTCAGGCCACACACTAAATACATTAGGACACGTAATCTCTCTCTCTCTCTCTCTCTCTCTCTCACACACACACACACACACACACACACACACACACACAAATCTCATAATGTTTTAAGTAAATTTCAATTTTATAAACTTACAGTGGGCCTTGGGTTGGACACCCATGCTCTAGGGGGAGCCAGAGGTTCCCAAACAACCAGCAGTAGAGATGTATGACTCCAAAACAGGAGTCAAGTTGGATGAGTCTGCTAGTGGTTTCACCTTTGCACAGTGTAAAATACTCTCCTTTCAAAGTCTCAATTAAAAATACGACTGTAAGTGATAACAAATGGCAGAGGCATCATTGTTTGAGCCCTTACCTTGCATTAATTGCTCTGGTAGATGATGTCTTCCAGGGACGAACAGAGGTTCTGTGGGTCAGTGAAGTTCTTTCACATTCATAGTAGGCAAGGAGAGTCAGGAGTAGACCCCAGGCTTGCCTGACCCTAAAGACCCACCCTCTTGCCCACTACACAGGGGCTCAGACCCACTCAGCAATGAGAGGAGAAGGTGCCACTAGCTAAATCTTCCTGTGGACACCCCTGCTCCTGTCTTGGGGACACAATAACAACCCCTGTCTCATTGTCAGCGTCTAGGTGGCGTTCACACTATAGCATCAAGAAAGTTTCTGACTTATAAGCAAGAGGAGGAACGGAGAATGCTCAAGAAACTCCAGTTGCTGTCTTCAGACTACAAACAGGTGGCAGAATATAAAAAACGACAATCCTCAACTTGCTCCACTTGCTGGCCTAAAGAAGCAATATGGAAGGCCGGGGTGGTCATGCCCCCAGAAGAGTTGAAAATGCCGCAACGAGAGCGGCATGAGGTCAGCAAGCACAAGGAGCGCATGCAGTTCGCTCGAGCCCTGAGAAGTAACCCGCAGCTACCCTCCATTTTAAGGGCCAGGAACTCTTCAGTTCTGTCCACAGGGGACCTGGGCCCAACAACCAGAGACAACACCTGGCAAGACGAGGGTGAGGATGATGACGACAATAACTACGATGATGACACACAAGAGGAGAGAGAGAAAAAAACCACAAAGAGACAAGAAATAAAAATGAGTGTAATTTTCAAGGCAGAAAAAAACAAAAAATGTTTCACATACCAGCCCAGAGACCTGAAACCATTCTTTCCCACAAAGAAAGTGGAACGGTCCATCACCGGCTTAACGAACCGCAATCTTTTTCCCTTGGCTGAATTCCCAGGAGACCTACTGCTGATGAACCAGGACTGTATCTCACGAGGCATCCACCCCAGTGAGATGACAAAGACCAGCTGCCTGGAAGGAGAGAGTGTCTGGAGAGAGTACACGGGAAAACCAGCATCTCACCATTATTAAAGGTTTATTGATTGCCCACAGCGAACTGAATGTCGCAGTCCTCGTTTTTCTTGCCACTCTGCCTGCCTGGGTGCCTTTCCTCCTTGTCTTCTTTTGGGACGTGAATGCCGGGCGTCCTTAAGGTATGACCTACCTGCTAAGTCTTCCTGATTTCAGGCAGCGCCTAGCTCTTGGCTCCCACCTCCCTTCCGGGATGCAGGCTCCTCCTCTTTATCTTCTCCCATGAGGCCCCCAGATTTAGTGGTTTAAAACAACAGTAACTAATTTAGCTTGTAATTCTGTGGGTCAGCAATTTAGGCTGGGCTCAGCTGGAAGGTTCTCCTGGTCTCAGCTGGGGTTCTCATGTGTCAGGTGTCTGCAGTCAACTGACTTCAGGTAGGTGGGCTCTGGGGGTTGACAACCATTAGCTTGGTCCATGGCAGTGACTGGGCCAGGTTTCCTCCCTCCAGCAGGGTAGCCCAAGGGTGTTCACAGGGCCATTGCAGGACCCAAGAGAATAAGTGGAACTTTACAAGTTCTTTTGAAGCCCAGACTCGGAACTGGCACACCACCATGGTGTCCCATTCTGATGACCAAAACAAAAGCATTCTCTGCTTTGGGTAGAACCAAAACATGCCATGGACAGAGGAAGACAACTTACCCATTCTCAAGAAGCTTCTAGAAACCAAAGGGCAGCGGCTGCTGACCATGATCATTTCTTTGGACAGCCCACCCTACTTAGCTTCATTTGAAGGTATCTAGTGCTTAGGTGTGCCACTACAAACAATGAGCAAACTGACCCTTGCTTGAAATAAATTCTTTATTCGGCTTCTCCTATAAATCAAGAGGTTAAGATGTATACTACAGGCCTAAGAAGTGAGTTTATAAAAAAAGGTCTGAGAGTAATTCTCTAGAGGAAGCTCTGCACCTGTGAGCCATTGGCACACAGTCGCATGCAGGGTTTTAGATACAGCAGCTGCTGGCCTGACCTTCTGACCCAGCACTGAGCCTGGTTTTAGGAAAAGCTGCCCCTGACTTTCCCCACCCCCATCTCAACCCCCATCCACCATAAGCCTGGGCTGGAGTGAACAGAGTCAGGGTGCTGCTGGGTGCCATGCTCAGGGCACAGGTTTCTGGCTTGTCTGCTTGGGTTCTTGGGGCCCAGTTCTGAGCGTTGTCCTGAGCCTTCATTCCTCTGATAGCACATTGCAGAGCCACCATTTGTCTGGGCAAGATTATCCAGGCCCCCAGCTACTGTGGTGCCCCTGGAAGAGGAGGGAGAGGAGAGGAGTGAGCAGGTCCTTGTCATCCCACCACACCCATCTCCCTGCCCTGCCGCCCTCCCCACAGCCCCGACTCCCACTGGAGGTGCCCTGCACTGTCTTCTCCCTCTGGAATGTTAAGCTATTTAGAGGTGAGGCTTTTTACTTGTCTCTGTTTTTAGTTATTTTTCTCCTGGCACATAGTAGGCCTTCAAACAATATGCATGGAATGAATGACTAAGTAAGGAACGAGACTACAATCCACCCAATGTGGGATATCCTGAATACAGGCCATGAGGAGAGAGAGCTGTCAGAGATGCTCCAGGGGGTGCAGCCAAGTCACCCAGGGGATGGGTTGGGAAAACTACTGCAACCCCAACTCTGCCCCTGTCCCCAGGGCCACCACCTCTGATGACCTGGCCCTGGCCTGCACCTGACACCCTGGGACTCACTCTGATGACACTTGTGCATCCACACACACACAGCAGAACAGCACATGTGGTATCCACTTCAGGTGAGGAAAATGAAATGGCTTGGCCAGTGTCAGGCCCTGGGAGCTGTCAGAACAAATCCATCCTGCCTGCACCCTGTGGCCTGCCCACACCCTGACTTCCTGTCCCTGGGACCACAGGTTGTGCCTGTCACTGTCATGAGTAATCATGTTCTCATATTATGGTTGTTAATATTGGTGACAATAACAATTGTGACCAAAGCCACCATTCATAATGCTCAGTGGCTGGACCAGGCAGAGGCCACGGCAGTTTAACTAACATTATTTTCGGCAACTCTCTCGTCTGTCCCAAGAGGTAAGTATGAACAGTTCAGTCTTACAGATAAGGAGTTCAGAACCCAGAGGTTAGAGGGGTCAGGTGGGTTTGCATCCCAGGTCAGATCTCTCTTGACCAAATCCCATGTATTGGTCCCTCTTAGACCAGCAGCCCTTGGGAGAAGGGGGGAGGCAGGTGCACTGGAACTCTGTCTCACTGGGCATAGCACAACGTGCCGCTCACAGTAGATGCCCAGTTCTCGGTGGAACACGACTATAACACCCCGAGTCCCTGTGGGTCACGGGCCTAGGCCCCTATGGGCACTGGGTTGGGAGGGTGGTCACCTACCCAGGCCCCTCTTCTCGGTGTGCAGAGGTCGAAGCTGGATGGGTCCCAGGACGACGTCCACCTGCTCCTGGTAGGAGCTCACGTCTCTCTTTGACCTGACCACGCAGCCTCTGTGGCAGCGGGAGGAGTAGTCGTGAGCCCTGCACACCACCATCTTACACCGCAGGTACACAGAGGGGAAGCGGTTCAGGAAGTGGAAGGAGCTGAATTTGAAGCGGACTATGTGGGGCGAGGGCTGAGGGTAGGACGCGTAGGTCTCGTCCTTCACACACCTGGAAGAAGACGGGAGGAACTTTACACGCTCACCAGGGCTCTCGTCCCTTCTGACCTGGACACACTGGGTGTAGAACTCAGCAGCCTGACCTCAGGGCCACCTCCTGCGGCACCTCATTGGCTCCTTCAGATCATGTGTTTCCCACATTGACCGTCAGCCATGCAGGGAAATCCTGGAGTTCATGCACATCAGCAGCATCTTAAAGCAGCGAGCCAGTCCGAGTGTCCACACTGACAAGCTGGCCCCATATTGTGACCATGTGTTCAATGGCCCCAGGTTACCCAGGTGAGTCAGGAAGTGACAAGACCCAGGGAGAAGACAGGAAGGAAGGTCACACCTGGCTACCCTTGGGTGTCTTTGGTGTCTTCCCCTCTCCAGGGCTGTGTCTCGTGACCCACCTCAGCATGGTCTGGGGACCCTGCAGGTGTCTGAAGCTCAAAGATATTCAAATGGACATCCAGGTGGGTGATTTGGTTGGTGTCTAGGTGTAGCCCATGAGTCCCCGAGCTCCAGGTACAGTAGGGACACATGTATCCCCATATGCACATCCTCCCTCCCCATAACACTACCTTTTATATATATACATATATAATTATATATATAATTTGACCAAAAAGTTGCCTTTAATGAAGAAGAGCCAGATCACTTGCTGCCTGGCATTAATCCCACTCATTGGAAATAACTTCAAATGTCACCTTGTGACTACTTGTAAAAAGAGGATCTGGGGAAACTTCTTCCCCATCTCGGCTGCCAAGGAGGCTGTTGTGAATTGAACTCTGCATAGTAGCTCGACAAACCTCAACCCCCATGTACCAAATCCACGCTTAATAAAAACTGTGCTCAGAAAGAGATGCTGTTTTCAGTCTCAAGGAGAAGTGAAATTTAGCCTCCTAGCCCTGAGTCCTAGCAGATCGCCTTCACTTGTCAGTACAACTTATGTATGGGGCAGTGGTTACTGAGGTGCCAAGATCAAATTATAAGCAAAGAAATGACGTAAACACCACTGGACAGATGAAGGAATAGTCATTTCGGCTGCACACCCCAGTGTCCCTGGACCCCTCTGTGAGCTCTGAAGAGTCCTGTACCCAGGAAGACAAGACTCTGTGAGACAGCCCGGCCCAGGCACCATGGACCCAGGCCTGGACAGTGCTGGCTTTGCCTCTGCACCTTTGAGCTTAGTGGGAACCCTGGACTCTGAGCACCTCCATGCTCAACTGATGTAGGTCCACATTCTGGGCCTTCAGTGCGACATTCACTGTGGACCACCTGCTATGAGTATTCTTTGCCCAAATGCCCACCTGCTCTTTCTCCTCTAATGCCCCCAGAAGCCTATGATGTGCACACCACCATGCTCATTTGATGGGCAAAGAAACTGGCTCAGAGAGGTGCACCTGCCCACCCAGAGTGCTACAAATGGTCACGTGGCACAGCTGGCATCTCAGTCTCCATCTGCTTCAAAATGAAAACTTCCTCACTACACCCACATCCTGTTAATACTAAGGCTTGCCTGGGCTCCAGTGACCTGGGGCCAAAAGCCAGTTTATAGCCCACCTACTTGGTGCCCACTGGTGAGTCCCTCAATTCATCAGACACCCATATCTCTGTATGTTATCCAGGCCTGACAACCTGACTGGTTGAGCTTGAGCTCTTAGGACCAAATTCTGCATTCAGAAGACTTTGGGCTACTCGTGTTTGGGTGATCAGTGAACTGTTCAAGTCCCCCCGGTGAAGACATTCCTTACCCACTCCTGATTAGATAGTAAGTCAGAGATGTAAAGTCATTGGAATATGGAGATGCCACACAGGTGTCCACAAACAAGGCCAAAAAGGAGTTGGCATGAAGGATTTCAGCCTGAAGGTACAAGTTCTGGTTGAAGTCCACGTAGTACTGCCTGCTGGTCACACGATGCAAGAATGAAGAGGATGTATAAAAGGACATGTCCACGTCATAATGGCCATACTGCACTTCCTGGATGTCGATGCTGCTATTAACAATGTACATCGTGTCCACCCAAGTATTCTGGAGGATCTTGCAGCTGACGTGAATGTGGATGTCCTTGGTCCTCTTGATGATGTTGCTTGAAGCAGCTGCTCTGAGCATGTTGGAATAGGTGATGGTGTCATTACTGACCTGGGAGAGGCAGACAGGAGAGCAGAGTCAGGCCCCGTGTCTCCTGCTGAGAGACTCTCACTGCTGGTTTTGTTTACAATGAGAGGCAAGCGACTCAACAAAGCTTCAAGAACCCTCCCAGAACCAGAGATGCCACATGCCTACTGCCAGGGCCACCATTACCTGGGATGGGCATGCTGCTTAAGTAGCAAGAGCCTCCTTTCACAATCCCCTCTTCTCTACCATTTGACAGGGGACCACCATGGGGACCAGGTGTTGGGGGCCTCAGGGGACTGCTCCTCCTGGGAGCTGGGTGTGTCTGGGTGATCTTTTGCCCTGTGGTATGACTAAGCTGTGTGTGGACTCCAGGGCTCAGGACCTTCCTGTCTTGTTCTGTTTCATTCTCCCTGTTGCTGGGAGAAAGCAGGGGAGGCAGATGTGTACTCTTGAGAGGGGCTGTTGGCATTAGTTTCCACTGTGCTGTTTGAATGGGTCAGTAGCTTTGCAATGTGGCATCTGAAGCAGCCAGGGCTGAAAATGATAGACTGGAGTTATTGTTGTAGCAGGTCTCTGGCTGCTGGGGCAAGGGGTCTTCCCCAAAGCTCAGATGAACAGTTGGTTGGGCGTGGCAAGGCAGAGCATTTCCTGTCATACTCTGTTTTTTCACTTCCTGCACCACAGAATTATTTCCGACTTTCATCAAGCAGCAAATTCCTAAGAACATTGCACCATTTGATGTGTCTACCATCTAGTGAGAGTGACTTCTCTGGGGATGAGATCCTTGCACCTGGCAGTCTGTGAGCATCTCAAGCAAAGGATGCTTTCTCTTTCCAGGGCTTGGTATGCTGTCAATCATAGTATCAGTAGCATCAATAAATATCCCTGGAAGGAATGACAGTGACAGGGGATGAAAAACAAGCAAAAGCACTGAGGTGGAGAAGGATGGGGCCAAGAGTAGCTTCTCCAATGGCCCAAATGTCCAAGAGGACACAGGTGAACAAGGCCCCCTGGACATTCCATGGTCATGATCATCTGGCCCTGATTGAGGTGAGCCCAAGAGAAGCATGGCCAGGAGGAGACCAGGGGAAACTCTTCCCTTCCCAAATGCTCCATGGTCAGAAGCCAACCTCTAGCCAGGTATGAGTTCCCACAAGCTGTGGGTGCTTTGGCAAGGAAGAGCCCAATACCGCCATAGTGCCCCAAATGCAAACCCTGGAATGTAAGACAACCTGATACTTCATCAAAGAGGAAAGAGTAAGTTATGTTTGCATTCTTTCACTTAATGAGGTGCCAGCCCCTCTCACCCACCCCAACCCCAAACTGTACAAGCTTCCAACTCTGGAAGCTGCTCATGTAAGTGGTAGTGAGCCGGATCCCCTCAGTGCTGGACAGTGCTGGAAATACTGCCTGCTGATCTCAACCCCCCTCCTTCCTTCTCTTTGGATGTGGCAAGGAACAGATTGTCCACCCTGATAACGTCTGGTTATACAGACATAATCATGTCACCTGGCTCCCCAGGATTTCAGCAACACAGTACACATATCACTGTAAGAAAGCTTTCTCAGTGGGAGGTAGAGTGGGAAGGCCCAGGCTTACCTGCTGGGTGGTGCCGCAGCCTGAGTGGGGAATTGTGAAGGTCACCTGGCTTGACGTTATATGGGGCTGACACTGGTAGACCCTGTTCCAGTTGGGAATGACAAGGTCACTGGCGGAATAGCCCAGGGATTGCAGGTAGCGCCTGCTCACGTTGACTTGCATTTCATTTGATAGACAAAGCAGCTCTGGTGGCCAAGGGCAGATAATGAAGTCAGTCAGCACCCCCAAGTCCCAGCAAGTCCCTGTTGAGTTTCTCCCATATCCCATACCCAGGTGCAGGGAACAAGTTGGCTGACAAAGACAGTCCACATGAGGATGTGCTCCTTCCACCCACCCCCCAAAGGGGCCCTGTGGCTCCAGTGACTCTCATTCTCAGGAGAGCCCTGTGTGAACACAGGCACTGGGGACTCCTCAGGTGAAGAACAGGGGGCAGGATGTGAAAGGAGTGAAATGTTTGGCCAGGGTACCATTATCTAGAAAGTAAAGTAACGCTCCAGCTGTACTGTGGGAATGCCGTGAAATAAGGTCCTTCAGCTATGGAGCAGGTTCAAAGCTTAAAATCCAGGTTGAAAATGAGTGCTTGGCCATCACCTGGCCCAGTCCTTGGCCAGCCTGTAAATAAGTCCATTTAACAGCTTGAATAGTGACCATGAACCTCTGATGGAAGTGTCTGAGTGACCAGTGGCTTTCAGATAGCAGCCAAATGTGCCAGGTCTCAGGACATAGTCACAGTGTCCCATGCTCTGGAATGTTCACAAGGCCTTAAGCCAGGGCTCACTCCTGCCCTTGACACAAATGTCTTACTATATGGTAAAGGCATCATCTTGCACGTTCTACTCAGTCTCTTCTGACCACATTAGTAATGTCAGCACACAGCTTATTGGTCAGTTCTTGCCCTTGACCTCACTTCTGGGCAGCTGGAATCCCAAGACCCACTGCTCCCATTCCCTTTCAGCACCAGATCAAGCCTCAGTGACCTGCCAGGGTTGCTCCAGGTTCCTGTCCCACCATCCCAGAAAGGTTGAGGAGGAGAGGGCACATCCGAGGGTGCCCCCGCCTTGATGAGCCTGGGGACTTACTGGTGCTGTGGTTGGAGGGACTAGAGGAGTAGTCAGCCTGGAACCCTGTCCTGGTGATGCTGCCGTCACTGACAAAGCGGATGGACATGAAGTTGGATGAGGAAGTGAAGGAGTCGCTTGCCCCATGACAAAGCCGGGCCAGGAGAGGGGAACTTTGGTAGGGGCCATCGAACACTTCAATGTAATCATAGTCACAGTTCCCCTCAAGCCTGCAGAGACAGGACACACAGCTTTAGCTTCACCTCCCACCAGGAGTGGGGGCAGAGGTCGGGTCTGGGTGTGGGGCTACCCTCCTGGGTCAGAAACTCTGACAAAATTTAATAACTGAAAATAGCAGATTTTCTGAAAGAAAGCAGAGGTTCCTCTCCCCATGGCCTGCATACATGGGTCTTGGTCCTTCCTGCCTTTTGGGGTCACACATTTGACACAGCCCCTCTCTCAATAGCCTTTTGCATCATGGCAGGAAAAACTCCCATCCTGCCTCGGACCTTCTGCAACAAAAGGAGCCTGGTTTCCCCTGGACTGAGATGGATATCCACAAAGTCATGGTGATAGAAATGAGTTACTGAATGAGCACACGTTGGACGAGTCACATACCCTCCCCGAAGGTTGGTTCTTGCCTACAAGGGGGTCATCCTATCTGTGCAGAGCCCCTGTGAGGCTCAGATGGAACAGCTCATGGAAAGTGCTTCACAGAGTAAATGCTGTGGCCGTTGCTGTCCAGATGCTGCCTAAAGATCCAGCCCTGCTCGGCCTCCCTCCATAGGACTTCACGAGCTTTAAATGAAGCCCCCAAAATCCACGTGAATTGTAATGATAGGTGATCACAATCACATATCTTTGGCAAGACCCCACATGAATTTCCAAGGCAGAAACATCCCCCCAAAGCCACTGCAAATGAGAAACCGAGAGAGAAAACAATCTGGCTCAGTGGTGGCTTGGAGGGAAGAAGTTATGGCACCTTCTCTCCAGGACATTGAAAGCATTGGTGCCCCCTGCATGGCCACTCCCCACCCTGCACCAGTCACATGCTAATGTGCTTTGATGATGTCTCCTCTGCCTAACACAATGGTTTTTCCATTTCTGCCTGAGCCCTGGGACCCGCCCCCAATAAAAGAGGGAGTGGAGAGAACAGTTGGTGTGTTTGTTAATAGGGTTCTTTGCATTATTTTTATTGCTCCCAACAGAGTCTTTTCCCTGGATAACACTTTCCAAGTATCTTCATCTATTTATTTCTCTTGGGACGTTCCCCATAACCATGGATCGGAGAGGGGGCGGGCAGGCATTTCAGTCCTCTTTCCTGACAGAGGCTGAGGAAAGTTAAGGGAGATCCCACAGTCACACAGTAAGTAGTGGCAAAACTGAGACTTGAAGCCAAGGCCTTTGTCCTGGCCCCACTTTCCTGGGCTATCTTCGTGCTGGGTCACAAATTGAACCCACCGGAAAAAACATCAATGGGAAGCACCTCTGCTGAAGTGCAGGTCCCGTCTGCTTCCTTCTGAAATGTCTGTGAGGACCCCCACATGGCCTGCTCCGCACCCACACACTCACTGCACATCTCTGAAGACAACGGTCACACAGTCATTGTTCTGGACCTCGATGTCCCACACACACTGGGCATTGTTCGGGTAGTTCCTGGGATAGAACGGGCTGGAGAAGCGTCCTGATGGCTGGGACAGGAAGCCTCCACAGGAATAATTGGCTGTCAGGACAAAACAGAAATGCTGTGGGCCCCTGGAGCACAAAATTGAAGAGACAGAATGCCAACAGGAGGTGGCCCCAACCTGGCCTGTCCACCCCGGGTCAGCGGGATCCCCTTCCTGTGCAGTTACACCTGTGGAAGCCCTCTCCTCATCATTCCCATCATCTCTCCCCAATGCCACTGTCACTGAGGGGAAGGGAAAGGGGATTTGTCAGGGGCTCAACACTTACTGGTTGGGCTGGTGGCCATGTGGGAAGAAGCTATTGACAAAGAGAAAAGATAATGATGAGTCTCCTGGCATCCTTGACACAGTCATGGAGTGCACGCTTGCTATGTGACAGAAACGTGCCAACCCTGGGGCCACATGAAGATGCTGGCCATGGGCCACTCTCTCAGGGAGCTCACCATCTGAGGGAGTGGCTGGCAGGGAGTGAATGGAATGAAGTGAATCCTAACACAGTGGGCAATGGGAGCCAAAGCTTTGGCTCCAGACCCAGCGTGAGCAAATGAGTTTGCTTTTCTCGTAATCCTTGGCTTCATATGGAACTTCCACTAATTCCTGGATCTAGTGAAGCTCCTGCCGATGTGCCCTTTGTGCACTGATCTTTCCCCTTGAAATGCCTGTCACAACTGTAATTGTATCATTAATTCTGAAACAAATATTTAATACTGCGTCCTACCTGAGGGAGTAGGTCGGTTCCTCTTTTTCCTTACTCTGTAATTTTACAACCCTTCTTGGTGGCCGTGTGGCCACACGCACAGCTAAGACTTTCAAACAATTAACACCATGAGATTTTGTGTTTCTAAAGTATATTCTAGACACCAGACACTAGGTTAACTTTGGTCCAGTAAATCTACCCCTGTTCTAAAGGAAAAAATGAGGCCTGCCCACATTTATTTCTAAAGGTATTCTTCATCACAGAATCATTTATGATAAAGAAGAAATATAAATTACCAAAATGCCCAGCACGTGGGGACTAATTAAATAGTTTGCGGGCACAGCTGTGCAATGGAATATAATTCCGTCATTTAAAATGATGGTGAGAGCAATGTCTTAAAGACAATAAAAAGCTCCAGAGCTGTATCCATGTCATCAGGTAACACTTGTGGGTAAAAGCATGATTATTTGTGAAATTATCCATTTGTCATCTCCCTTCTTCCTCCCAAAGCATTGGTGACACTCCAAGAAATCAAAGCGTTTGTTTCTATTCTTTGAAGAATCAATTTTTCCATTTACTTCGAAGGAGATGGAACAAATGTGATCTGCTAGCAGGGGCGATGTGAGGTTTCGTGTGTACCAACGAGATGCTGGCTCTGTGCACGCAGGGATGGGGGTGCAGGGTGCGGTGGGGCTGGCCTGGGGGCGGGGGTGTGCAGGGTGAGAGAGGCTGTGCACCCGCCAGCATTGGCACCATGGGCAGCGAAGCCTGTGCGTGAGGTGGACAAACCTGAGACTTACCCTCAGTAGTTGCTGAAGTTGGCTGCCCCCAACCTAGAAAGACAATGAAGTGACTTTAGGATTTTACTGGAAATGTTTAAATCCAATGGTCAGTCATTTCAAAGGAGAGGTGTAAACCTTTTCCTCATTGCAGGGCATCTCAGAACCTGGACCACTCACTCCACTGTCCACTGAATGGCCAAGAAGAGCCACAGAGCAGCACGTCCCAACACATCCGCCACTGAACATCGCCATTATGACACAAAGGGCACTTTGATGGCTGCGCTTTCAACGTACGGAATTCTTTCACGCATAAGCATGCATCAGGGTTTTACTTGGCTGTGTTTCTAAAATGGTCACGACTCTCTCTACAGGCTGGCTGGGACAGTGAGTGGCACCTGGAAGGACCAGAGGACAAAAACCTCTTCCACCGGCCCCTCTCCTGATGAGCACAGGCGGCCGGTGATGGCAGGGGTCTGGGGCTCTCCAGGCTGAACTCACTGACAGCCATCCTCCTGGGGACTTGGCTGGTCATTCTGACAAAGCCCAGAGTCCTCAGAGAGAAATCACTCCCTGGAAGGAGCCCGTTCCCCTGCTTCTGGAAACACAAGAGGGCGGAGGTCCAGAGAGGGAGGCTGGACTGCAATGACTCACCTGGGGTAGTCAGATTGCTTTGTGAAGCTGCAAGAAAGAGAAGGAAATACAGTCAGTCTCAGTGGCCAGGATGTGCTAGAACGTGCCCTCAGGATCCAGAGACACAGGCACTGATGCCTGAGGTCTGTGCCCTTTGCAGCACTGGGGGATGCTTCCCCAGGCTCTCCAGGAGAGCTGAGTGGTAAAGGAAAACCTCAGGGGTCTGTCTCCCCTAAAACAGATGTTGGGGGATTTTGTACATTAAACCCTGGACTGCTCCAGGGATCCACCTAGGAATCATTCTGTGGCCACCCATAAAATCAGGGTCACCAACAGCTATCGATGAGGTTCTCCGGGAAACTGCCCGTCCACCAGGGAAGTCCACGGTGGGGCAGCCCAGTACAAAGAGGAGCATGTGATTGGAGAGAACTGTATGAAAACACAAACCCGATATCTGGGAGGCTCACCTGAGCAGATGACACCCGCATCCTCAGAATGTCGACAGTTGTGTACATTCCAGGGGTAATGGGGACAATTCCACAAGTAGGTCTCGTGCCCTGAGCAGCCCACGTCATCCAGGACAATGGGCCCCGAGCCCTGACCAAAGCGGGCACTTCCCGGAGCTGACGAGGCCCAGCCACAGCCCAGCTGCCTGCACACCACGTTGGCGTCGTTGATGTCCCAGCTGTCGTCACACACGGTTCCCCAGGAGCCTTGGTAGAGGACCTCCACCCGGCCCTGACACCGTTCACCTCCGTTCACCAGCCTCAAGGCCAAGGCACCTTCTGTCCCGAGCCCTGGGGAAGGCACAAGGACACCTCCTCCAGGACCCTTGAGCGTCATGAGAGTCAGGCCTGAGGCAGGTCCCAGACCCTTGGCTCATGCCCATGGACAAACCACCCAGGGGCACAGTCAGCTTTAGACACGTGCACAGGTCCACCTTCATCACAGGAAGGGAGGAGAGACACCCACTCTGGCAGGGTCATGGGCGCACCCATTGTTGGAGCCTTCATGACTACACCCAGGGAGGTGAGCAGAACTGCCTCCAGGACCCCTGCAGGGGCCCCCGGAGCAGAGCTCCACAGTGGTGGGGGCCGTTGTCCCTGATTGGCACCTGCAGTCTTCCCCATGCTCCCCAGAGACCACAGTCACAGTCCCAGGACTGATGGGAAGGGTCCCTCACAGGCGGGGCTCGTGCATGTTCATCCCCTCTACTGGGGACATCAGCTCGAGGCCTGAGCTACCGGCCACGTCTCAGCAGGACACAACCAGCCAGGCCCGGAGCACACACACTCATTCCTGGAAGGGCCTCTCTGCTGCATCTTCCCTGCATCTTCCTAGAGTTGGGACCCTGGGCCACTACCCCACACGTGAAACCTGTCCACACACACAGTTCCTTAGGAGCCCCTCCCTAGACACACAGCTCTCAACAGCCCACGTGAACCCAATTTCCGTCATGTTCCATCCCAGCCTGGAATCAGGAGCAGGGGCAGAACCCCAGGGGCCACGGGGGACAGGAGTACACACCTGAGTCTGTGCTTCCTGCTGCTGAAGGCGTGGAAGTGATTGGCCACGGGTCTACAAGTGACAACACAGGGCAAGGCCACAGTTAGGGGCCACGGATACTGACCCTTTCAAAATCTCTGTGGGGCCATCATGACAATTGTCCAAGTGCATCCTGCCGCTTCCTACCTTGACGTGCTCACGCTACTTTTCAACAGGGTCTGTGGGTCCCAAGGCCCTGTTAGAAATCCCACTGATCCCTCCAAATCCCCCAGCCTTCCCTGCTATCTGCCAAACTGACAAAGCTTTGACCTCTCCCAGCCCTGAGTCACAGGCTCATGGGTCATTCTCAGAGGCTGGCATCCCTCTGGGGTTTAAATGTCAAGAGTCAGGAACATGGGTCTGAGAGCAGGAATCAATCAACTGTCCACTTTTATGGCGACCCGTTCTCCCATACAGGTCCAGGATCCCCTGGGCACCTAGCCTGGCCCACAGTGAGGCACATGCGAGCGTGCTGAACCCCAGTGTGTTGTAGGGGCAAAAAAAGGAGAGGAGACCCAAGTCGTATGCGCCATGTAGGGACCACAGTGCTTTTAAAGAGCTATCACCCACAGAAAGAGCATTGGGGGGACGTGACAGGGTCCAATCCATGTCCTTGAAGGCCACCTGTCTGAACACTGGCGGCAATCTTTAGAAACAGCGACCAACTGTTCGGGGAGAACACCAACTGATCAACAAGACATGCAGTCCTGGAGAGGCCAGGAAAAGTGCTCGAGCTCAGGGGGGAGCTCAGTGAACAGGACAGGGAGACTGTGCACATGGGCACGTGCTAAGGGCAGGGGTTCGCCCAGAGTGAGGGGAGAGGCATGGAGGTGCAGAGGCAGAAGACATAAAGGAGGAGGGTCCCTGGCGACTCACCTGGCCACGATGTAGTATAGGACTCAGCAGCTGTAAGGAAGAGGAGGAAAGTGTTAGATGCAAAGCACACAGTTGCCCAACTCAGATCCAGGGTCCATGACCCTCCTCCTACACCCACCAAGCGAGTGGAGACCCCGCACTCATTCTGACTGTGGACAGCACCCCTTGCTGCTCGAACCTCTCTGTCTTTCCCAACACCTGCCTCATTGTGCCTGAAGACTGATCTCTCTGTTTTTCAGAGCCGGGGTCATGCCTGACACAGGCCACGATAGCCTTGGCTGACAACACGAGAATTAGGAGAAGACAACCCTAAGGACTGGGGCACTGTCCATGCCAACCATCTCCCCTGGAGATGTGATGACAGCCGCCCTCCCTCTAGACCAGTTTCCAGTCTTTCTCTGTGCATCCTGCCACCGTCCCCAAGGCCAGGCCAGGATCACCAGCATGCATTCTTGGGCCTCCTGCTTTCTCACACCTCACCGCGTCCCTGTCACTGCTTCTGAAGTTCACAAAGCCCTTGGTGCTCCTGGGTCCACTGCTCAGCATCACATTCTGGCACAGCCACGAGCACTGTGCTGATCAGACCACAGCTCTTCCCACCCATCCGCACATCTCTCAAAGGGCTCTCCTAGGATGCTGGCCCCAGGAGGACAGGAGGTCGGAAGTGAGCTCGTGTTATAGAGGCAGGACAGAAAGGCTCCCTGCTCTGCCTTCAGGAAGCTGGACCCCCAATAAGAACACAGGGCCAGAGTCCCCTCCAACACCCTGTTGGCAATCCCCAGACAACGCCGGGGTCCCAAAGGGACCAACCTCCTCTATTACCCAGGCTGATGACGGAACCACTTGGGTGCTTGCTGTCCTGGAATGAGGTCCAGTACCGGGGTCCATGACATGACGAAGGGGCAATAGAGTGCGAGTCTCATCAGATCTGAGCAAAACAACTCCCCCAAAGGGAGACCCACCCTGTGTGAGGCCCACCTGAGCAGATGACGCCAGCGTCCTCCCCGTGGTTACAGTTGTGGGAGTTCCAGCCTCGGCTCGGGCAGCTCCACAGGTAGGACTCGTACCCTGAGCAGTGCACGTCGTCCAGGACAATGGGCCCCGAGCCCTGACCAAAGCGGGCACTTCCCGGAGCAGACGAGGCCCAGCCACAGCCCAGCTGCCTGCACACCACATTGGCGTCGTTGATGTCCCAGTCGTCGTCACACACGGTTCCCCAGGAGCCTTGGTAGAGGACCTCCACCCGGCCCTGACACCGTTCACCTCCGTTCACCAGCCTCAGGGCGAAGGCGCCTTCTGTCCCGAGCCCTGGGGAAGGCACAAGGACACCTCCTCCAGGACCCTTGAGCGTCATGAGAGTCAGGCCTGAGGCAGGTCCCAGACCCTTGGCACACTCTCTTGGCCAAACCACCCAGGGGCACAGTCAGCTTTGGACACGTGCACAGGTCCACCTCATCACAGGAAGGGAGGAGAGACATCCTCTCTGGCTGGGTCATGGCTGCCCCCATTGCTGGAGCCTCCATGAGGACACCCAGGGAGGTGAGCAGGACTGTCTCCAGGACCCCTGCAGGGGCCTCCGGAGCAGAGCTCCACAGTGGTGGGTGCCATGTCCCCGGTCGGCACCCAAGGGCTTCCCCATCCCCCTGAGAGACCACAGTCACAGTCCCAGGACTGATGGGAAGGGTCCCTCACAGGCGGGGCTCGTGCATGTTCATCCCCTCTACTGGGGACATCAGCTCAAGGCCTGAGCTACTGGCCACGTCTCAGCAGGACACAACCAGCCAGGCCCGGAGCACACACACACTCGCTCCTGGAAGGGCCTCTCTGCTGTGCCTCTACCCAGCATCTTCCTAGGGTTTGGACCCCGGGCCACTACCCGACACGTGAAACCTGTCCACACACACAGTTCCTTAGGAGCCCCTCCCTAGACACACAGCTCTCAATGGCCCAAGTGGACACACTTTCCATCGTGTTCCATCCCAGCCTGGAATCAGGAGCAGGGGCAGAACCCCAGGGGCCACGGGGGACAGGAGTACACACCTGAGTCTGTGCTTCCTGCTGCTGAAGGCGTGGAAGTGATTGGCCACGGGTCTACAAGTGACAACACAGGGCAAGGCCACAGTTAGGGGCCACGGATACTGACCCTTTCAAAATCTCTGTGGGGCCATCATGACAATTGTCCACATTCATCCTGCCGCTTCCTACCTTGACGTGCTCACACTACTTTTCATCAGGGTCTGTGGGTCCCAAGGCCCTGTTAGAAATCCCACCGATCCCACCAAATCCCTCAGCCTGCCATGCTCTCTGACAAACTGACAAAGCTTTGACCTCTCCCAGCCCTGAGTCACAGGCTCATGGGTCATTCTCAGAGGCTGGCCTCCCTCTGGAGTTTGGATCCCAAGAGTCAGAAACATGGTTGTGAAACCAAAAGCCAATCCAATGTCCACCTTCGTGGCGACCCGTTCTCCCATACTGGTCCAGCATCTCCTGGTCACTGGGCCTGGCTCACACTGAGGCACCCATGAGCGTGATGAACCCCAGTGTGTTGTAGGGGCGAAGGCAGGAGAGGGGACCCAAGTCAGATGTGCCCTCAGAGGACCCCAGTGCTTTTTGAGGTCCATCGGCCACATAAAGGGCAGGGATATGAAAGGGTCCAAGTCACGCCCCTGGGGCCAACTTTCTCAACACTGGCGGCCATGTTTAGGGACAGTGACCAAGTTTACTCAGAGAACACCAAAGAATGGACAACACGTGCAGTCCTGGAAATGCCAGGAACACTGCCGCAGCACTGCGGGGAGCTCAGTGATGGAGGACAGGGAGACTGTGCTCATGGGCACGTGCTAAGGGCAGGTGTTCGCCCAGAGTGAGGGGAGAGGCATGGAGGTGCAGAGGCAGAAGACATAAAGGAGGAGGGGTCCCTGGTGACTCACCTGGCCACGATGTAGTATAGGACTGAGCAGCTGTGAGGAAGAGGAGGAAAGTGTTAGATGCAAAGCACACAGTTGCCCGACTCAGATCCAGGGTCCATGACCCTCCTCCTACACCCACCAAGCGAGTGGAGACCCCGCACTCATCTGACTGTGGACATCACCCCTTGTTGCCCGAACCTCTCTGTCTTTCCCATCACCTGCCTCATTGTGCCCGAAGACTGACCTTTCTGTTTCCCAGAGCAGGGATCATGCCTGACACAGGCCACCATAGCCTTGGCTGACACCCCGGGAGTTAGCAGAGGAGGACCCTGAGAACTGGGGCACTGTCCAGGTCAACCGTCTTCCCTGGAGATGTGATGAAAGCCTCCCTCCCTCTAGACCAGTTTCCAGTCTTTCTCTGTGCATCCTGCCATCATCCACAAGGCCCAGTCTGGATCACCAGCATGCATTCTTGGGCCTCCTGCTGTCTCACACCACACCCCATCCCTGCCACCGCTGCTGGAGTTCACAAGGAGCTTGGTGTTCCTAGGCCCACTGCTCAGTGACAGATTCTGGCACAGCTACGGGCACTGTGCTGATTAGACCACAGCATTTCCTACCCTCCCGCAAAACACACAGAGGGCTCTGCTTAGGAGCCTGGCCCTAGGAGGGATGGACATCAGTTGTGAGCCTGTATTATAGAGGCAGGAGGGAAAGTCTCCCTGTTCTGCCACCAGGAAGCTAGGCCCCCAGTAAGGACACAGGGCCTGAGTTGCTCCCAAACTCTGCAGGTAATCCCCAGAGAACTCCCAGGTCCCATAGGGACCAACCGCCTCTTTTACCCAGGCTGATGATGGAACAACTTGGGTGCCTGCTGCCCTGGAATAAAGTCCACACCAGGGTCGATGCCATGATGAAGGGGCACTACAGTGCGAGTCTCATCAGCTCTGAGCAAAACCACTACCCCAAAGGGAGACCCACCCTGTGTGAGGCCCACCCTGAGCAGATGACGCCAGCGTCCTCCCCGTGGTTACAGTTGTGGGAGTTCCAGCCTCGGCTCGGGCAGCTCCACAGGTAGGACTCGTACCCTGAGCAGTGCACGTCGTCCAGGACAATGGGCCCCGAGCCCTGACCAAAGCGGGCACTTCCCGGAGCTGACGAGGCCCAGCCACAGCCCAGCTGCCTGCACACCACATTGGCGTCGTTGATGTCCCAGTCGTCGTCACACACGGTCCCCCAGGAGCCTTGGTAGAGGACCTCCACCCGGCCCTGACACCGTTCACCTCCGTTCACCAGCCTCAGGGCGAAAGCGCCTTCTGTCCCGAGCCCTGGGGAAGGCACAAGGACACCTCCTCCAGGACCCTTGAGCGTCATGAGAGTCAGGCCTGAGGCAGGTCCCAGACCCTTGGCACACTCTCTTGGCCAAACCACCCAGGGGCACAGTCAGCTTTGGACACGTGCACAGGTCCACCTCATCACAGGAAGGGAGGAGAGACATCCTCTCTGGCTGGGTCATGGCTGCCCCCATTGCTGGAGCCTCCATGAGGACACCCAGGGAGGTGAGCAGGACTGCCTCCAGGACCCCTGCAGGGGCCTCCGGAGCAGAGCTCCACAGTGGTGGGTGCCATGTCCCCGGTCGGCACCCAAGGGCTTCCCCATCCCCCTGAGAGACCACAGTCACAGTCCCGGGACTGATGGGAAGGGTCCCTCACAGGCGGGGCTGTGCATGTTCATCCCCTCTACTGGGGACATCAGCTCAAGGCCTGAGCTACTGGCCACGTCTCAGCAGGACACAACCAGCCAGGCCCGGAGCACACACACTCGCTCCTGGAAGGGCCTCTCTGCTGTGCCTCTACCCAGCATCTTCCTAGGGTTTGGACCCCGGGCCACTACCCGACACGTGAAACCTGTCCACACACACAGTTCCTTAGGAGCCCCTCCCTAGACACACAGCTCTCAATGGCCCAAGTGGACACACTTTCCATCGTGTTCCATCCCAGCCTGGAATCAGGAGCAGGGGCAGAACCCCAGGGGCCACGGGGGACAGGAGTACACACCTGAGTCTGTGCTTCCTGCTGCTGAAGGCGTGGAAGTGATTGGCCACGGGTCTACAAGTGACAACACAGGGCAAGGCCACAGTTAGGGGCCACGGATACTGACCCTTTCAAAATCTCTGTGGGGCCATCATGACAATTGTCCACATTCATCCTGCCGCTTCCTACCTTGACGTGCTCACACTACTTTTCATCAGGGTCTGTGGGTCCCAAGGCCCTGTTAGAAATCCCACCGATCCCACCAAATCCCTCAGCCTGCCATGCTCTCTGACAAACTGACAAAGCTTTGACCTCTCCCAGCCCTGAGTCACAGGCTCATGGGTCATTCTCAGAGGCTGGCCTCCCTCTGGAATTTGGATCCCAAGAGTCAGAAACATGGTTGTGAAACCAAAAGCCAATCCAATGTCCACCTTCGTGGCGACCCGTTCTCCCATACTGGTCCAGCATCTCCTGGTCACTGGGCCTGGCTCACACTGAGGCACCCATGAGCGTGATGAACCCCAGTGTGTTGTAGGGCGAAGGCAGGAGAGGGGACCCAAGTCAGATGTGCCCTCAGAGGACCCCAGTGCTTTTTGAGGTCCATCGGCCACATAAAGGGCAGGGATATGAAAGGGTCCAAGTCACGCCCCTGGGGCCAACTTTCTCAACACTGGCGGCCATGTTTAGGGACAGTGACCAAGTTTACTCAGAGAACACCAAAGAATGGACAACACGTGCAGTCCTGGAAATGCCAGGAACACTGCCGCAGCACTGCGGGGAGCTCAGTGATGGAGGACAGGGAGACTGTGCTCATGGGCACGTGCTAAGGGCAGGTGTTCGCCCAGAGTGAGGGAGAGGCATGGAGGTGCAGAGGCAGAAGACATAAAGGAGGAGGGTCCCTGGTGACTCACCTGGCCACGATGTAGTATAGGACTGAGCAGCTGTGAGGAAGAGGAGGAAAGTGTTAGATGCAAAGCACACAGTTGCCCGACTCAGATCCAGGGTCCATGACCCTCCTCCTACACCCACCAAGCGAGTGGAGACCCCGCACTCATCTGACTGTGGACATCACCCCTTGTTGCCCGAACCTCTCTGTCTTTCCCATCACCTGCCTCATTGTGCCCGAAGACTGACCTTTCTGTTTCCCAGAGCAGGGATCATGCCTGACACAGGCCACCATAGCCTTGGCTGACACCCCGGGAGTTAGCAGAGGAGGACCCTGAGAACTGGGGCACTGTCCAGGTCAACCGTCTTCCCTGGAGATGTGATGAAAGCCTCCCTCCCTCTAGACCAGTTTCCAGTCTTTCTCTGTGCATCCTGCCATCATCCACAAGGCCCAGTCTGGATCACCAGCATGCATTCTTGGGCCTCCTGCTGTCTCACACCACACCCCATCCCTGCCACCGCTGCTGGAGTTCACAAGGAGCTTGGTGTTCCTAGGCCCACTGCTCAGTGACAGATTCTGGCACAGCTACGGGCACTGTGCTGATTAGACCACAGCATTTCCTACCCTCCCGCAAAACACACAGAGGGCTCTGCTTAGGAGCCTGGCCCTAGGAGGGATGGACATCAGTTGTGAGCCTGTATTATAGAGGCAGGAGGGAAAGTCTCCCTGTTCTGCCACCAGGAAGCTAGGCCCCCAGTAAGGACACAGGGCCTGAGTTGCTCCCAAACTCTGCAGGTAATCCCCAGAGAACTCCCAGGTCCCATAGGGACCAACCGCCTCTTTTACCCAGGCTGATGATGGAACAACTTGGGTGCCTGCTGCCCTGGAATAAAGTCCACACCAGGGTCGATGCCATGATGAAGGGGCACTACAGTGCGAGTCTCATCAGCTCTGAGCAAAACCACTACCCCAAAGGGAGACCCACCCTGTGTGAGGCCCACCTGAGCAGATGACGCCAGCGTCCTCCCCGTGGTTACAGTTGTGGGAGTTCCAGCCTCGGCTCGGGCAGCTCCACAGGTAGGACTCGTACCCTGAGCAGTGCACGTCGTCCAGGACAATGGGCCCCGAGCCCTGACCAAAGCGGGCACTTCCCGGAGCTGACGAGGCCCAGCCACAGCCCAGCTGCCTGCACACCACATTGGCGTCGTTGATGTCCCAGTCGTCGTCACACACGGTCCCCCAGGAGCCTTGGTAGAGGACCTCCACCCGGCCCTGACACCGTTCACCTCCGTTCACCAGCCTCAGGGCGAAAGCGCCTTCTGTCCCGAGCCCTGGGGAAGGCACAAGGACACCTCCTCCAGGACCCTTGAGCGTCATGAGAGTCAGGCCTGAGGCAGGTCCCAGACCCTTGGCACACTCTCTTGGCCAAACCACCCAGGGGCACAGTCAGCTTTGGACACGTGCACAGGTCCACCTCATCACAGGAAGGGAGGAGAGACATCCTCTCTGGCTGGGTCATGGCTGCCCCCATTGCTGGAGCCTCCATGAGGACACCCAGGGAGGTGAGCAGGACTGCCTCCAGGACCCCTGCAGGGGCCTCCGGAGCAGAGCTCCACAGTGGTGGGTGCCATGTCCCCGGTCGGCACCCAAGGGCTTCCCCATCCCCCTGAGAGACCACAGTCACAGTCCCGGGACTGATGGGAAGGGTCCCTCACAGGCGGGGCTGTGCATGTTCATCCCCTCTACTGGGGACATCAGCTCAAGGCCTGAGCTACTGGCCACGTCTCAGCAGGACACAACCAGCCAGGCCCGGAGCACACACACACTCGCTCCTGGAAGGGCCTCTCTGCTGTGCCTCTACCCAGCATCTTCCTAGGGTTTGGACCCCGGGCCACTACCCGACACGTGAAACCTGTCCACACACACAGTTCCTTAGGAGCCCCTCCCTAGACACACAGCTCTCAATGGCCCAAGTGGACACACTTTCCATCGTGTTCCATCCCAGCCTGGAATCAGGAGCAGGGGCAGAACCCCAGGGGCCACGGGGGACAGGAGTACACACCTGAGTCTGTGCTTCCTGCTGCTGAAGGCGTGGAAGTGATTGGCCACGGGTCTACAAGTGACAACACAGGGCAAGGCCACAGTTAGGGGCCACAGATACTGACCCTTTCAAAATCTCTGTGGGGCCATCATGACAATTGTCCACATTCATCCTGCCGCTTCCTACCTTGACGTGCTCACACTACTTTTCATCAGGGTCTGTGGGTCCCAAGGCCCTGTTAGAAATCCCACCGATCCCACCAAATCCCTCAGCCTGCCATGCTCTCTGACAAACTGACAAAGCTTTGACCTCTCCCAGCCCTGAGTCACAGGCTCATGGGTCATTCTCAGAGGCTGGCCTCCCTCTGGAATTTGGATCCCAAGAGTCAGAAACATGGTTGTGAAACCAAAAGCCAATCCAATGTCCACCTTCGTGGCGACCCGTTCTCCCATACTGGTCCAGCATCTCCTGGTCACTGGGCCTGGCTCACACTGAGGCACCCATGAGCGTGATGAACCCCAGTGTGTTGTAGGGGCGAAGGCAGGAGAGGGGACCCAAGTCAGATGTGCCCTCAGAGGACCCCAGTGCTTTTTGAGGTCCATCGGCCACATAAAGGGCAGGGATATGAAAGGGTCCAAGTCACGCCCCCTGGGGCCAACTTTCTCAACACTGGCGGCCATGTTTAGGGACAGTGACCAAGTTTACTCAGAGAACACCAAAGAATGGACAACACGTGCAGTCCTGGAAATGCCAGGAACACTGCCGCAGCACTGCGGGGAGCTCAGTGATGGAGGACAGGGAGACTGTGCTCATGGGCACGTGCTAAGGGCAGGTGTTCGCCCAGAGTGAGGGGAGAGGCATGGAGGTGCAGAGGCAGAAGACATAAAGGAGGAGGGTCCCTGGTGACTCACCTGGCCACGATGTAGTATAGGACTGAGCAGCTGTGAGGAAGAGGAGGAAAGTGTTAGATGCAAAGCACACAGTTGCCCGACTCAGATCCAGGGTCCATGACCCTCCTCCTACACCCACCAAGCGAGTGGAGACCCCGCACTCATCTGACTGTGGACATCACCCCTTGTTGCCCGAACCTCTCTGTCTTTCCCATCACCTGCCTCATTGTGCCCGAAGACTGACCTTTCTGTTTCCCAGAGCAGGGATCATGCCTGACACAGGCCACCATAGCCTTGGCTGACACCCCGGGAGTTAGCAGAGGAGGACCCTGAGAACTGGGGCACTGTCCAGGTCAACCGTCTTCCCTGGAGATGTGATGAAAGCCTCCCTCCCTCTAGACCAGTTTCCAGTCTTTCTCTGTGCATCCTGCCATCATCCACAAGGCCCAGTCTGGATCACCAGCATGCATTCTTGGGCCTCCTGCTGTCTCACACCACACCCCATCCCTGCCACCGCTGCTGGAGTTCACAAGGAGCTTGGTGTTCCTAGGCCCACTGCTCAGTGACAGATTCTGGCACAGCTACGGGCACTGTGCTGATTAGACCACAGCATTTCCTACCCTCCCGCAAAACACACAGAGGGCTCTGCTTAGGAGCCTGGCCCTAGGAGGGATGGACATCAGTTGTGAGCCTGTATTATAGAGGCAGGAGGGAAAGTCTCCCTGTTCTGCCACCAGGAAGCTAGGCCCCCAATAAGGACACAGGACCTGAGTTGCTCCCAAACTCTGCAGGTAATCCCCAGAGAACTCCAGGGTCCCATAGGGACCAACCGCCTCTTTTACCCAGGCTGATGATGGAACCACTTGGGTGCCTGCTGCCCTGGAATAAAGTCCAGTACCAGGGTAGATGCCATGATGAAGGGGCACTACAGTGCGAGTCTCATCAGCTCTGAGCAATACCACTCCCCCAAAGGGAGACCCACCCTGTGTGAGGCCCACCTGAGCAGATGACGCCAGCGTCCTCCCCGTGGTTACAGTTGTGGGAGTTCCAGCCTCGGCTCGGGCAGCTCCACAGGTAGGACTCGTACCCTGAGCAGTGCACGTCGTCCAGGACAATGGGCCCCGAGCCCTGACCAAAGCGGGCACTTCCCGGAGCTGACGAGGCCCAGCCACAGCCCAGCTGCCTGCACACCACATTGGCGTCGTTGATGTCCCAGTCGTCGTCACACACGGTCCCCCAGGAGCCTTGGTAGAGGACCTCCACCCGGCCCTGACACCGTTCACCTCCGTTCACCAGCCTCAGGGCGAAAGCGCCTTCTGTCCCGAGCCCTGGGGAAGGCACAAGGACACCTCCTTCAGGACCCTTGAGCGTCATGAGAGTCAGGCCTGAGGCAGGTCCCAGACCCTTGGCACACTGTCTTGGCCAAACCACCCAGGGGCACAGTCAGCTTTGGACACGTGCACAGGTCCACCTTCATCACAGGAAGGAAGGAGAGACATCCTCTCTGGCTGGGTCATGGCTGCCCCCATTGCTGGAGCCTCCATGAGGACACCCAGGGAGGTGAGCAGGACTGCCTCCAGGACCCCTGCAGGGGCCTCCGGAGCAGAGCTCCACAGTGGTGGGGGCCATTGTCCCCATTCAGCACCCAAGGGCTTCCCCATCCCCCTGAGAGACCACAGTCACAGTCCTGGAACTGATGGGAAGGGTCCCTCACAGGCGGGGCTGTGCATGTTCATCCCCTCTACTGGGGACATCAGCTCGAGGCCTGAGCTATTGGTCACGTCTCAGCAGGACACAACCAGCCAGGTCCGGAGCACACACACTCATTCCTGGAAGGGCCTCTCTGCTGTGCCTCTACCCAGCATCTTCCTAGGGTTTGGACCCCGGGCCACTACCCCACACGTGAAACCTGTCCACACACACAGTTCCTTAGGAGCCCCTCCCTAGACACACAGCTCTCAATGGCCCAAGTGGACACACTTTCCATCGTGTTCCATCCCAGCCTGGAATCAGGAGCAGGGGCAGAACCCCAGGGGCCTCGGGGGACAGGAGTACACACCTGAGTCTGTGCTTCCTGCTGCTGAAGGCGTGGAAGTGATTGGCCACGGGTCTACAAGTGACAACACAGGGCAAGGCCACAGTTAGGGGCCACCCATACTGACCCTCTCAAAATCTCTGTGGGGCCATCATGACAATTGTCCACATTCATCCTGCCGCTTCCTACCTTGATGTGCTCACACTACTTTTCATCAGGGTCTGTGGGTCCCAAGGCCCTTTAGAAATCCCACCGATCCGGGACTTCCGCCCAGATGGAGGCATAGATAGAGGATCCACCTCGCCTCTGTGCACAACCAAATCTAAGAACAACTATTTTTAACAGCAGTCACAACCAAGCCATACGGAAAATCGACAATACGGAGTCCAAAGGACAACTAGATACTCGGCTGGACCAGTACGAGGAGCGAGGCCAGCAGCAGAGCAGGTTAGCAAGAAAAAATTCCCGGGGCGGTGCGCGGTGGGCGCAGGCACCGAGGGCGCTGATCACCAGCGAGCTGGCTGCAGGAGCTCACAGGGAAGAGAAGTGGTGGGTTGGTCGGTCGCGCGCATTTACGTGGGGAGAAACCAGTGAGAAGGGAAAACCGCGCGGTGCAGCAGGCTCGCACAATTAGGATCAGATAAACAAGCCCGAGGCGTGTGAGTGACTGGGTGCCCTGGGCTAGCGGAGAGGAACGCCATTGCTCCCTCTCTGACCCCGCCCCCACACACAGCGTCACAAACCAGCGACCTGGGTCGCCCTGTCCTGGTAAACAACTAACGCTTCGCTCCACTCACTTAACAGCACGAATAGACCAAAAATGGCTCTAGGACAACTCAGAGCCCCAGAACCGATAGACCTAAGTGATGAAGAAATAGCCAGTCTTTCAGATGCACAGTTCAAAACACTGGTTATAAGGATCCTTACAGAACTGGTTGACTTTAGTCACAAATTAGAGAAACATATGGAAGCTAAATTAATTGAAATGAATGGGGATACAAAAGATACCAATAGTAATGGAAAGAAAATTGGGACTCAAATCAAGGGAGAGAACCAGACGGAAGAAAAAAATGATCAAACAGAAAGGAATGAAGAAATAAGAATTCAGAAAAATGAGGAGAAGCTTAGGAACCTCCAGGACATCTTTAAACGTTCCAACATCCGAATTATAGGGGGTACCAGAAGGGGGAAAGGCACAACCACCAGATGAAAAATTATTTGAACAAATAATAAAGGAGAATTTCCCCAAGATGGTAAAGGAAATAGACTTCCGAGAAATCCAGGAAGCTCAGAGAGTCCCAAAGAAGTTGGACTCAAGAAGGAACACACCAAGGCACATCATAATTACATTAGCCAAGATTAAAATGAAGGAGAGAATCCTAGAAGCAGCAAGAGCTAAGGGGACAGTCACCTACAAAGGAGTTCCCATCAGACTGTCAGCTGATTTCTCAAAAGAGACCTTACAGGCAAGAAGGGGCTGGAAAGAGGTATTCCAAGTCATGAAAACCAAAGATCTACAACCAAGATTGCTCTACCCAGAAAAACTTTCATTTAGAATGGAAGGACAGATAAAGTGCTTCTCAGATAAGACCAAATTCAAGGAGTTCATCATCACCAAGCCCTTATTATATGAAATGTTAAAGGGACTTACCTAAGAAAAAGAAGATAAAAAAGATGAACAGTGAAAGGACAGCAAACTCACAGTTATTAAGAACCACACCTAAAACAAAAGCAAACTAAGAGGCTAGCTAGATCAGGAGCAGAACCATAGAAATGAACATCTCAGGGAGGGTTAGCAACAGGGGAGTGGGAGGAGGGGAAGAGGGGAGAAGGTACAGAAAATAAGTAGCATAGACAGTAGATAGAAAATACATAGGGGGGAGGGTAAGAATAATAGGGGAAATACAGAATCTAAAGAATTTGAGACACATATTCATGAACTAAAGGGGGAAATGGTGGGGGAGGGGTATGCAGTGTGGAGGGGAAGGGAGGGGGCAATAGAGCAAATGTAATGGCATAATCAATAAAAAAAAAAAAAAAAGAAATCCCACCGATCCCACCAAATCCCTCAGCCTGCCATGCTCTCTGACAAACTGACAAAGCTTTGCCCTCTCCCAGCCCTGAGTCACGGGCTCATGGGTCATTCTCAGAGGCTGGCCTCCCTCTGGAGTTTGGATCCCAAGAGTCAGAAACATGGTTGTGAAACCAAAAGCCAATCCAATGTCCACCTTCGTGGCGACCCGTTCTCCCATACTGGTCCAGCATCTCCTGGTCACTGGGCCTGGCTCACACTGAGGCACCCATGAGCGTGATGAACCCCAGTGTGTTGTAGGGGCGAAGACAGGAGAGGGGACCCAAGTCAGATGTGTCCTCAGAGGACCCCAGTGCTTTTTGAGGTCCATCGGCCACACAAAAGGCAGGGATATGAAAGGGTCCAAGTCACGCCCCTGGGGCCAACTTTCTCAACACTGGCGGCCATGTTTAGGGACAGAGACCAAGTTTACTCAGAGAACACCAAAGAATGGACAACACGTGCAGTCCTGGAAATGCCAGGAACACTGCCGCAGCACTGTGGAGAGCTCAGTGATGGAGGACAGGGAGACTGTGCTCATGGGCACGTGCAAAGGTCAGGTGTTCGCCCAGAGTGAGGGGAGAGGCACGGAGGTGCAGAGGCAGAAGACATAAAGGAGGAGGGTCCCTGGTGACTCACCTGGCCACGATGTAGTATAGGACTCAGCAGCTGTGAGGAACAGGAGGAAAGTGTTAGATGCAAAGCACACAGTTGCCCAACACAGATCCAGGGTCCATGACCCCTCTCCTACACCCACCAAGACAGTGGAGACCCCGCACTCATTCTGTGGACAGCACTCCTTGCTGCCCGAACCTCTCTGTCTTTCCCATCCCCTACCTCATTGTGTCCGAGACTGACCTTTCTGTTTCCCAGAGCAGGGGTCCTGCCTGACACAGGCCACCATAGCCTTGGCTGACACCACGAGAATTAGGAGAGGACAACCCTAAGGACTGGGACACTGTCCATGCCAACCATCTCCCCTGGACATGTGATGAAAGCCTCCCTCCCTCTAGACCAGTTTCCAGTCTTTCTCTGTGCATCCTGCCACCGTCCCCAAGGCCCAGCCTGGATCACCAGCATGCATTCTTGGACCTCCTGCTATCTCATACCTCACCCTGTCCCTGCCACCGCTTCTGGAGTTCACAAGGAGCTTGGTGCTCCTGGGTCCACTGGTCAGCGTCACATTCTGGCACAGCCACGAGCACTGTGCTGATCAGACCACAGCTCTTCCCACCCATCCGCACATCTCTCAAAGGGCTCTCCTAGGATGCTGGCCCCAGGAGGACAGGAGGTCGGAAGTGAGCTCGTGTTATAGAGGCAGGACAGAAAGGCTCCCTGCTCTGCCTTCAGGAAGCTGGACCCCCAATAAGAACACAGGGCCAGAGTCCCCTCCAACACCCTGTTGGCAATCCCCAGACAATGCCGGGGTCCCAAAGGGACCAACCTCCTCTATTACCCAGGCTAATGACGGAACCACTTGGGTGCCTGCTGCCCTGGAATGAGGTCCAGAAGTGGGGTCGATGACATGATGAGGGGGCACTACAGTGGGAATCATCATCTCTGAGCAAAACCACTCCCCCAAAGGGAGACCCACCCTGTGTGAGGCCCACCTGAGCAGATGACGCCAGCGTCCTCTATGTGGTTACAGTTGTGGGAGTTCCAGCCTCGGCTCGGGCAGCTCCACAGGTAGGACTCGTACCCTGAGCAGTGCACGTCGTCCAGGACAATGGGCCCCGAGCCCTGACCAAAGCGGGCACTTCCCGGAGCTGACGAGGCCCAGCCACAGCCCAGCTGCCTGCACACCACATTGGCGTCGTTGATGTCCCAGTCGTCGTCACACACGGTCCCCCAGGAGCCTTGGTAGAGGACCTCCACCCGGCCCTGACACCGTTCTCCTCCATTCACCAGCCTCAAGGCCAAGGCGCCTTCTGTCCCAAACCCTGGGGAAGGCACAAGGACACCTCCTCTAGGACCCTTGAGCGTCATGAGAGTCAGGCCTGAGGCAGGTCCCAGACCCTTGGCACACTCTCTTGGCCAAACCACCCAGGGGCACAGTCAGCTTTGGACACGTGCACAGGTCCACCTTCATCACAGGAAGGGAGGAGAGACATCCTCTCTGGCTGGGTCATGGCTGCCCCCATTGCTGGAGCCTCCATGAGGACACCCAGGGAGGTGAGCAGGACTGCCTCCAGGACCCCTGCAGGGGCCTCCGGAGCAGAGCTCCACAGTGGTGGGCGCCGTTGTCCCCGGTCGGCACCCAAGGGCTCCCCCATGCTCCTGAGAGACCATAGACACAGTCCCGGGACTGATGGGAAGGGTCCCTCACAGGCGGGGCTGGTGCATGTTCAACCCCTCTACTGGGGACATCAGCTCGAGGCCTGAGCTACCGGCCATGTGTCAGCAGGACACAACCAGGCAGGCCCGGAGCACACACACTTGCTCCTGGAAGGGCCTCTCTGCTGTGCCTCTGCCCAGCATCTTCCTAGAGTTGGGACCCCGGGCCACTACCCCACACGTGAAACCTGTCCACATACACAGTTCCTTAGGAGCCCCGCTTTAGACACACAGCTCTCAATGGCCCACGTGGACCCACTTTCCATCGTGTTCCATCCCAGCCTGGAATCAGGAGCAGAGGCAGAACCCCAAGGGTAGCAGGTGACAGGAATACACACCTGAGTCTGTGCTTCCTGCTGCTGAAGGCGTGGAAGTGATTGGCCACGGGTCTACAAGTGACAACACAGGGCAAGGCCACAGTTAGAGACCACCCACACTGACCCTCTCAAAATCTCTGTGGGGCCATCATGACCATTGTCCATGTGCATCCTGCCGCTTCCTACCTTGACGTGCTCACACTACTTTTCAACAGGGTCTGTGGGTCCCAAGGCCCTGTTAGAAATCCCACCGATCCCACCAAATCCCTCAGCCTGCCATGCTCTCTGCCAAACTGACAAAGCTTGCCCTCTCCCAGCCCTGAGTCACGGGCTCATGGGTCATTCTCAGAGGCTGGCCTCCCTCTGGAGTTTGGATCCCGAGTCAGGAACATGGGTCTGAAAGCGGGAGCAAATTCAATGTCCACCTTTGGGGCCACCTGTACTCCCATACTGGTCCAGCATCTCCTGGTAACTGAGCCTGGCTCACAGTGAGGCACCCATGAGCGTGATGAACCCCAGTGTGTTGTAGGGGCAAAGACAGAGGAGGGGACCCAAGTCAGATGTGCCCTCAGAGGACCCCAGTGCTTTTTGAGGTCCATCGGCCACACAAAGGGCAGGGATATGAAAGGGTCCAAGTCACGCCCCTGGGGCCAACTTTCTCAACACTGGCGGCCATGTTTAGGGACAGAGACCAAGTTTACTCAGAGAACACCAAAGAATGGACAACACGTGCAGTCCTGGAAATGCCAGGAACACTGCCAGAGCACTGTGGGGAGCTCAGTGATGGAGGACAGGGACACTGTGCACATGGGCACGTGCTAAGGGCAGGGGTTCGCCAGGAGTGAGGGGGGAGGCACGGAGGTGCAGAGGCAGAAGACATAAAGGAGGAGGGTCCCTGGTGACTCACCTGGCCACGATGTAGTATAGGACTGAGCAGCTGTGAGGAAGAGGAGGAAAGTGTTAGATGCAAAGCACACAGTTGCCCGACTCAGATCCAGGGTCCATGACCCTCCTCCTACACCCACCAAGCGAGTGGAGACCCCGCACTCATCTGACTGTGGACATCACCCCTTGTTGCCCAAACCTCTCTGTCTTTCCCATCACCTGCCTCATTGTGCCCGAAGACTGACCTTTCTGTTTCCCAGAGCCGGGGTCATGCCTGACACAGGCCACCATATCCTTGGCTGACACCCCGGGAGTGAGCAGAGGAGGACCCTGAGAAATGGGGCACTGTCCAGGTCAACTGTCTTCCCTGGAGATGTGATGAAAGCCTCCCTCCCTCTAGACCAGTTTCCAGTCTTTCTCTGTGCATCCTGCCACCATCCACAAGGCCCAGTCTGGATCACCAGCATGCATTCTTGGGCCTCCTGCTGTCTCACACCACACCCCGTCCCTGCCACCGCTGCTGGAGTTCACAAGGAGCTTGGTGTTCCTAGGCCCACTGCTCAGTGACAGATTCTGGCACAGCTACGGGCACTGTGCTGATTAGACCACAGCATTTCCCACCCTCCTGCAAAACACACAGAGGCCTCTGCTTAGGAGACTGACCCTAGGAGGGAATGACATCAGTTGTGAGCATGTATTATAGAGGCAGGAGGGAAAGTCTCCCTGTTCTGCCACCAGGAAGCTAGGCCCCCAATAAGGACACAGGGCCTGAGTTGCTCCCAAACTCTGCAGGTAATCCCCAGAGAACTCCAAGGTCCCATAGGGACCAACCGCCTCTTTTACCCAGGCGGATGATGGAACCACTTGGGTGCCTGCTGCCCTGGAATAAAGTCCAGTACCAGGGTCGATGCCATGATGAAGGGGCACTACAGTGCGAGTCTCATCAGCTCTGAGCAAAACCACTCCCCCAAAGGGAGACCCACCCTGTGTGAGGCCCACCTGAGCAGATGACGCCAGCGTCCTCCCCGTGGTTACAGTTGTGGGAGTTCCAGCCTCGGCTCGGGCAGCTCCACAGGTAGGACTCGTACCCTGAGCAGTGCACGTCGTCCAGGACAATGGGCCCCGAGCCCTGACCAAAGCGGGCACTTCCCGGAGCTGACGAGGCCCAGCCACAGCCCAGCTGCCTGCACACCACATTGGCGTCGTTGATGTCCCAGTCGTCGTCACACACGGTCCCCCAGGAGCCTTGGTAGAGGACCTCCACCCGGCCCTGACACCGTTCACCTCCGTTCACCAGCCTCAGGGCGAAAGCGCCTTCTGTCCCGAGCCCTGGGGAAGGCACAAGGACACCTCCTCCAGGACCCTTGAGCGTCATGAGAGTCAGGCCTGAGGCAGGTCCCAGACCCTTGGCACACTCTCTTGGCCAAACCACCCAGGGGCACAGTCAGCTTTGGACACGTGCACAGGTCCACCTTCATCACAGGAAGGGAGGAGAGACATCCTCTCTGGCTGGGTCATGGCTGCCCCCATTGCTGGAGCCTCCATGAGGACACCCAGGGAGGTGAGCAGGATTGCCTCCAGGACCCCTGCAGGGGCCTCCGGAGCAGAGCTCCACAGTGGTGGGGGCTGTTGTCCCCTGTCGGCACCCAAGGGCTCCCCCATGCTACTGAGAGACCATAGTCACAGTCCCAGGACTGATGGGAAGGGTCCCTCACAGGCGGGGCTCGTGCATGTTCAACCCCTCTACTGGGGCCATCAGCTCGAGGCCTGAGCTAGTGGCCACGTCTCAGCAGGACACAACCAGCCAGGCCCGGAGCACACACACTCGCTCCTGGAAGGGCCTCTCTGCTGTGCCTCTACCCAGCATCTTCCTAGGGTTTGGACCCCGGGCCACTACCCCACACGTGAAACCTCTCCACACACACAGTTCCTTAGGAGCCCCTCCCTAGACACACAGCTCTCAATGGCCCAAGTGGACACACTTTCCATCGTGTTCCATCCCAGCCTGGAATCAGGAGCAGGGGCAGAACCCCAGGGGCCTCGGGGGACAGGAGTACACACCTGAGTCTGTGCTTCCTGCTGCTGAAGGCGTGGAAGTGATTGGCCACGGGTCTACAAGTGACAACACAGGGCAAGGCCACAGTTAGAGACCACCCACACTGACCCTCTCAAAATCTGTGGGGCCATCATGACCATTGTCCACGTGCATCCTGCCGCTTCCTACCTTGACGTGCTCACACTACTTTTCAACAGGGTCTGTGGGTCCCAAGGCCCTGTTAGAAATCCCACTGATCCCACCAAATCCCTCAGCCTGCCGTGCTCTCTGCCAAACTGACAAAGCTTTGCCCTCTCCCAGCCCTGAATCACGGGCTCATGGGTCATTCTCGGAGGCTGGCCTCCCTCTGGAGTTTGGATTCCAAGAGTCAGGAACATGGGTTGAAAGAAGGAGCAAATTCAATGTCCACCTTTGGGGCCACCTGTTCTCCCATACTGGTCCAGCATCCCCTGGACTCCCTCCTGGCCCACAGTGAGGCACGTATGCGGGTGCTGAACCCCAGTGTATTGTAGGGGTGAAGAGAGGAGAGGAGACCAAGTCAGATGCGCCATCTCAGGACACAGTGCTTTTAAATATTCATCGGCCACTAAAAGGGCATAAACCGGGATGTGACAGGGTCCAATTCATGTCCTTGGAGGCCTCCTCTCTGAACACTGGTGACAATCTTTAGAGACAGCGACCAAGTGTTCGGAAAGAACAACAACTGATCAAAAAGACATGCAGTCCTGGAGAGGCCAGGAACACTGCCGCAGCACTGTGGGGAGCTCAGTGAACAGGACAGGGAACCTGTGTGCATGGGCACGGGCTCAGGGCAGGGGCACCCAGAGTGAGGGGGAGAGGTATGGAGGTACAGAGGCAGAAGACATAAAGGAGGAGGGTCCCTGGTGACTCACCTGGCCACGATGTAGTATAGGACTCAGCAGCTGTGAGGAAGAGGAGGAAAGTGTTAGATGCGAAGGAAACACCTGTTGGACCCCATCCAGGATCCATGATCCTCCTCCTACACCCACCAAGCGAGTGGAGACCCCGTACTCATTCTGACTGTGGACAGCACCCCTTGCTGCTCGAACCTCTCTGTCTTTCCCAACACCTGCCTCATTGTGCCCAAGGACTGATCTCTCTGTTTCTCAGAGCCGGGGTCATGCCTGACACAGGCCACCATAGCCTTGGCTGACACCACGAGAATTAGGAGAAGACAACCCTAAGGACTGGGACACTGTCCATGCCAACCATCTCCCCTGGAGATGTGATGACAGCTGCCCTCCCTCTAGACCAGTTTCCAGTCTTTCTCTGTGCATCCTGCCACCGTCCCCAAGGCCCAGCCTGGATCACTAACATGCATTCTTGTATCTCCTGCTGTCTCACACCACACCCCATCCCTGCCACCGCTGCTGGAGTTCACAAGGAGCTTGGTGCTCCTGGGTCCACTGGTCAGCGTCACATTCTGGCACAGCCATGAGCACTGTGCTGATCAGACCACAGCACTTCCCACCCATCTGCACATCTCTCAAAGGGCTCTCCTAGGATGCCGGCCCCAGGAGGACAGGAGGTCGGAAGTGAGCTCGTGTTATAGAGGCAGGACAGAAAGGCTCCTCGCTCTGCCACCAGGAAGCTGGACCCCCAATAAGGACACAGGGCCAGAGTCCCCACCAACACCCTGTTGGCAATCCCCAGAGAACTCCAGGGTCCCATAGGGACCAACCACCTCTTTCACCCAGAGCTGATGATGGAACCACTTGGGTGCCTGCTGTCCTGAAATGAGGTCCAGTACTGGGGTCGATGACATGATGAAGGGGCACTACAGTGCGAATCTCATCAGCTCTGAGCAATACCACTACCCCAAAGGGAGACCCACCCTGTGTGAGGCCCACCTGAGCAGATGACGCCAGCGTCCTCCCCGTGGTTACAGTTGTGGGAGTTCCAGCCTCGGCTCGGGCAGCTCCACAGGTAGGACTCGTACCCTGAGCAGCGCACGTCGTCCAGGACAATGGGCCCCGAGCCCTGACCAAAGCGGGCACTTCCCGGAGCTGATGTGGCCCAGCCACAGCCCAGCTGCCTGCACACCACGTTGGCGTCGTTGATGTCCCAGTCATCGTCACACACGGTCCCCCAGGAGCCTTGGTAGAGGACCTCCACCCGGCCCTGACACCGTTCACCTCCGTTCACCAGCCTCAGGGCCAAAGCGCCTTCTTTCCCAATCCCTAGAAAGGGCACAAGGACACCTCCTCCAGGACCCTCTTGAGTGTCATGAGAGTCAGGCCTGAGGCAGGTCTCAGACCCTTGGCTCACTCTCATGGGCAAACCACCCAGGGGCACAGTCAGCTTTGGACATGTGCACAGGTCCACCTTCATCACAGGAAGGGAGCAGAGACACCCTCTCTGGCTGGTCAATTCTGCTCAGGTTTGGGAGCATTCATGAGGACTCCCAAGGAGGTGAGCAGGACTGCCTCCTGGACCTCTCCCAGGGCCTCCCAAACAGAGCTCCACAGTTTGGTGGCCATTCTCCCTAGTCGGTACCCGTGGACTCCCCTACACTCTCTGGTGACCTCTAGCACCCGATTCTGTATTACACTAGGAACTTGGTTCTCCTGGGTTTGCTCTTCAACATCACGTTCTGGCAGAGCCACTAGCCCTGTGCTAATCAGACAACAACACTTCCTACCCTCCCACACATCACACTAAGTGTCCTGCCTAGGAGGCTGGCCCCAGAGGACCACAGGTGGGATGTGAGTTCGTGTTATAGAGGCAGGAAGAAAAGGCTTCCTGCTCTGCCATCAGGAAGCTGGACCCTGGCCAACAACCCAGTTCCAGAGTCCCCTGCAACACCCTGGGGATAATTCTGGGGGAATGCCATGGTCCTATGTAGAACAAGCTCATTTTTCACCCAGAGCAGATGACATAACATCTCCGGTTCCTCCTTATCTTGTGCATTTGTGTGTTTAATACAATGTTGAATAGTTTGGGGGGTTCTGGAGGAGATATTACTTATGTTTTTCCTTTAGTATAAATGCTTCTTATGTTGACCCATTCAGTCGGATTCTCGTTTTAAGCTCTTGATTTTCAAACTTGATTTTCAAGGAGCCTGGTGCTTGTGCAAGGCCCCAGCAGGAGCCTACATTGTGCCAGTACCTGGAGAGAACATGACTTGAGAGCTGCGGTTACCCCACCGCAAGCAGAGACATCAGTTTTGTCTGGGTTGTCAACTATTTGGCTGTTACAGGGGGTGTGTTTCCAGGTAGAAGTGTGACTACCTCTCTACCCCTGCTCCACCCTCACTGGAGACTCTGAGAGCTCTAGATAAGTCCTGTCTGCTGTGCTGTGTGACACAGGCAGATAGCCAATCCCCTCCAGCCCCTCATATGCCCCCTGGCCCTCGGAGTTGTACCAAGCTTGCCAGGCCTGACCAGTGTTCCTAATACATGGCAGAATTCACAGGGAAAACCATTACAGAGCGAAGGGGCTCTTCTGTTACAGTTATGCAACTTAGAATTTGGGGCAGAGACGCGGCTAATTTAGAACACAGCCAGTGTCATCCTCAGCTCTAGTGACATTGTCCGCTCTGTGTCTGTAATCAGTGGAAACATAAAGAGAAGGAAAAATTGGGCCTTGCTTCACAGGCCTTAGGGACAGAAGTGCCCGATGCACATACCATTAGGATTCCCAGCTCATCCGTGCTGGGTCCTGACAGGGCCTTAGTCAGAGTTTCTAGGGTCAAAATTTCCCATGGAAAATGGGCAGTGAGTTTTCTTCTCAAAGCCCAGGCTGCCAGGACCCCAGGTTCCATGGAGTGCGCCTCCCACCTCTCCCACTGGAGTCCCTGCAGAGGGATGCATGGGACCTCTGCCACCCACAGGGTGAAGGACCATGGTCCTTCTATACTGAGATGGAACCCAGTGTCCTGATGTGGGCTCAGGAGAGGGCGCAGGCAAGGACACTGCTCAGCATGCTGCCTCTCCGGGACTTGCAGCCAGAACCCAGCACCTCAGCCTGGCCAAGAGGCAGCAAGCTTGGTGAGGACCACAGGAGTGGGCACTGAGCATGGACAACAGGTCCCCTGAAGACAGGACACCTAGCCCCACCTTGGACCTCCTTGGAGACAGCTGGCAGGTTGATTCCTCCTTCAACACATACATACGGTCCATGCAAAGGATACCCATTCAGGCCTGAGGCCCTGTTCAGAGCATCCCCCTCGGACGCTGAGCACCCCCATCTCTCACACTTTCGGTCCCTCTCCTGGGTCAGGGTGCAGTGGGGTAAAGAGCCCACAGAGATCCCATGTGACAAACGTTACCTTCTGTGGCCATTGTCGGGGGCTCCTCTGTGGAACTCGAAGAAGCTGCAGAGCAGAGAGAAGAAGAGGTCATTAGATGCCCTCCTTCGAAGGGGGGCTGGCCTCCCCAACCTCGGCCCTGAAACAAGGTCCTGGAGGCAGACACCTGGAAGCCTTCCCACTGCTAAACGGCTGATTCCTCCTTGTGAGCAGAACTCAACTCTCTCGCCCTTTGCCAACCTCCGTTCCATGCTGGGATGTCACCAAGGGCATCCCTTACCCCTGTCACCATCCCTCCCCTCCTGAGCTTCCACAGTCTCCAACCACAAAATCTCCCAGTTGATTAGCATCCCTCTAGCCACGAGGTTGGACACCAAACACCAACTGCCTGTTTCGGCAGCTCCCAGACAGCCTCCAGTGACAAATATCCTTCATCGATGAGAGATTCCTCAGAAGGTGGCCTCAACTGGAAGAAAGGCCATTTCTTAAAATGCACCCCCACATGTTGAAAAAACCCACCCCACAGTGACCACTCCAAGGGCCACACTCTCCTGGGGAAGCCATTCTCATGGAGGTGGTCAGGTCAGCAGGGTCACATCCCGTGTGTGGTGGTGTGTGCACACACCAGGCCACATAGCAAATGCCAGAGGTTGCTCTAAAGATGACAATTGACTAGAAACTCGCCTCTGGGGGGTCACACGGTGGGCAGTCTCCTCAGAGGGCTCTTTGGGGTTATCAGGGACCAGCACCCTGTGAGCAGGTGACTGGCAGCACTGGCATTTGCTAGGTCAGACCAGGGACAGTTTTCCTTTTCCACTGCAGGTGTAAATATCTTTTGCTTGTCATTTAATCCCCAGTAAAGAGAACCCATTGCTGACTCCTCAGTTTGATTCCTCCTCCCCCACCTTGAAAAGGAGAAAGAGCCACTTGAGAAGGTGTTTGCGCACCTGTGCCAGGACAGTCATGACACTGCTTGTCAGAATGAGCCCATGGGGTGATTGCATCAGCCAACTCTGGGGGGGCCTGAGATGGAAGCCCATCCCCACCCGCTCCCAGCTTTGGGACTTCAGCCAAGTCGGTTGCCCTCTCTGAGCCTCCATTTCTTTAGCTGTGAAAAGGGACCATGATACCTGCCCTCTAACGTCAAGGAGACATGACTTAGAGTGGAGCAGGTAAACAGCAAAGCATCCCAGTATGCACCACAATGTTGGGGACCACAGGGGCCGCTGTCCCCAGACTAGCACAGGTGACGGTGCAAGGCGAAGTCTGCACTACCTGAGCACACGACTCCTGCATCTTCCCTGTGTCTACATTCGTGGCGGTTCCAGCCACCGTTGGGGCAGCTGGACAGGGAGGACTCCCATCCCGAGCAGTCCACTGTGCCCAAGAGAATGTTCCCGGAGCCCTGACCAAAGAGGGCCTCGCCTGGGGCCGACACCGCACGGCCACAGCCAAGCTGCCGACAGACGACGTCCGCGTCCTGGGTGTCCCAGCTGTCGTCACACACAGTCCCCCAGTAGCCTTGATACAGGAGCTCCACGCGGCCCTGACACCGGTCACTTCCATTCACCAGCCGCACAGGCAAACCTGCGTGGACAGTGGGGAGCCATGATGTTTGCTCTCAGCCCCACTGGCTGTCACCACCCAGCCCTCCGTGTCCTCCTCTCTCTGAGCACCGCCCCATCTCCTTCATGGATTGTTCTCCTCTTCGGGGACCTGATAGTGCTGCTCTCCCACATTCTGTCTCAACCCCCCTGAGGAACTTTGCAGTCAGAGCCCCAAATCCAGCTCCCCAGTGCTGATCAGCCTGACGACCCCAGCCCCAGACTCTGCCGGGGTGTCCAACCTTCCGGCGTCTCTGGGCCACACTGGAAGAAGAAGAGTTGTCTTGGGCCGCACATTAAATACACAAACACTAACAAAAACTGATGAGCAACATACGGTTTTAAGTAAATTTACGATTTTTGTATCAGGCTGCATTTATAGCCATCCTTGGCCACATATGACCCGTCGCTATGGGTTGGACACCCCTGCCGACATTTCAGTGGCCTCCTGGGTACCCCAGACTCAATACAGTGTCTCTCCTCCACTTGAGTCAAAGGGGTTGCCATGCTCCCACAACAACTGTGCTGGGAATGTGGTTGTCATACCTGACTCCTCCCTTTCTTCACCTCTAATATTCAACTTATGGCCAAGGTCATTTTTTCTGTTATCCCCACCCTTTTGTGCTAGGTTGGATCTTCCTTCTCTGGAGCCTGGCCTCCTCCAGCAGCCTCCCAGTGGACCTCCCTGCAGCTCCCCTCCTTTCTCTGGGCCATGCACATTCATTAATTCAACCAGAATTTATGGGGTGCCCACTCTGTGCTCACCCCTGTGCTCGTGGGATTCATCTGACTTGCCCAGGCTGCCCCAGGTCTTATCCTGACAGTGTACGTCCAGGTTCAGGCCACTGCTCAGAATTCCTCAATTGCTACTCCCATTTGGATCAAGTCCAAAGTGGCATTGGATCCCGAGAGATCCAGCCCAGCATCTTAATGGTGGGAGCCTGGTGCTGGCTGTGGCTTTTCAATGTTTAGTGCGAGGCTATGAGAACTTTGTGGCCAGGGAGTGACCAGAGAGGTTGAAACAGGGTGGAAGGTAGGGGCAGGTGGTTGCTGTGGTTGCTGTTAAGGGGAGGGGTCAGGGAAAGGGTAAGGAAAGGCCAACTGGGCTGTGTCTAGGGAATTCCCAGGGTGCACTGTGGGCCTCCCCACCCTTCTTGCTGCCCCTTTCCGGTCACTCCTGTGAAGGGTCCCTGCAAAGGAGTTGTCAGTCTCCCAACCTCAGCCTGCCCCTTGCTTGGTGTCAGTCACCAGGAAGCTGCCCCTCAAGCCACCCCTAGCCTGGCCACTTCCAGACCATCAGGGCACACTCCAAAAGGGTGAGGATCGGCCTCAACAGAGTCAGGATCTCAATGGCGGGGCCAGCTGTCCCAAGAGAGCACAGAATGGACCCTGACCCATCAAACTTGGTGCAAAGTGTACACATGTTCACCAAAGAGAATGAGGAGAGAGGATGCATTTAGTAAGAATCATGGGCAGAAGCAAAGGCATCCATCCTGAACTCAAATCTCTGCCTAGCCACTTACCCACCCTATGACCTTCAACCTATAACTATTGACAAGTTACCTAACAATGCCCTGTTTTACCCATCTGCAAAACAGAGGTACTGGTACTACCTTCTCCCTCAAAGTGTGGTTGGAATGATTTCGTGATAACAGGACTTACTGCGTGCATTACTTGGGCACGTACCATGTACCAGGCAGTATTCCAAGTGCTTTTTCTATATAGTAACCGACTGGGTGTATGAAGATGATTTTGTGCAGAGTACGCAGCAAGCACCTGGGACACCTTAGCTATCTTCAAGGTAGCTTCACTAACTGTGACAGCGGACACTGACCCCCACCCCCATCTCTCCCAACGTCAAACTAAAGGTAATCTCCTGCAATGAGTGACCGAGAAGCAGAGCGAAGGAAGAAGAACGACAGGTGGGACGTGCCTAAGGTCTCGGGCACCCCGTGACCTCTCCCTCCCCACCCCTACACTCTAAAGGGCTGGCAGGCACTGGCTGTGTCCAAGACAGCATGAGGCTCAACTGGCCACCAGCCACAGCAGCAGAACTGGCGGACCCAGGTAGTGAGCAATACCCTGGGAATATAAGTTTTTTTTTAAAAAGGGTCTTACCATAGTCTGTAGTCTGGGTGGTCCACTGACCTAGAAAGAAACCAATTGCTTCTTAGAAAGAAGGTTCTGCCTTTTATAAATGATCTACAGACACTGGCTTGAGCTTCATCTCCAGTTCCACCAGGGGGCGCTGTGTTTTTTGACCTTGGGTTTGCATGTCCCCAGTGTTCTTGCTAAAGTGTTTGGGGATTTGCAATACTAAATTTCAACGTGTTGGATATGGGATGTGCAATTATGTTAGATGTAATAAAAGACAGGTCTCTTCCAGGCCCCCTAATGCTACAGTTGACAGGTTCAGGAGGTTATCTGTGCTCAGAGTAAGGGCTGGACAAGAGAAGGAGGAGCGCACTGGGGTTCAGGGTCCCAGGCTACAGCTGACTGCACCTTCCAGTCTGAAATGCAGTTGAGTCAGCAGTGGGAACAGCCACTCAGAGGCCCCCTCAAATGGGGAACGTTTTGATGTCAGATGCCCTGGTCTATCTTGTCATACCCCAAGAAATTTTAATGCTGCCTTGAAGAACACGGAAATCTAGAGCCCCCTGTCCCCGGGTCCCTGGGGCACCGAGTGTGACAGCGTTAAGCAGTGTGCAACCTGGCACAGCCACCCCTGCGGCCCGATAACAGCCACCTCCTTTCATCAGTCTCAAGGCCCAGTCCAGCGGGAGGCACAGAGATGGCCCTGTCTGTCCCTTCTGAGGGACAAGGTGTCAGGCTCGTGAGAGCTAGAGAACCCTGCATAGTGACCGAGGATTCAGAAAAGACAGAGCAATGAAACTGATTCCTCAGCATGTTTTAGGGTCTCGACGTAACGAGCTAAACTTTGCTGCATCTTCATTGGAGTTCCTCCAACCTCATGTTTTGGGGGGACCTTTGTGGCAAAGTGACTTTCAAGACCCATTTATGCTTCTGGCCTAAGCTTTCAAGTCCAGTTCTGATCACGAACAGCTAGTTGTGCCCGCGGCACACCCCCCATCTGGGGGGAGGGCCCAGTGCCTGCACCACGGGGGGATTACCCTCCACTCGGCAATCGTGGGAGCTTCTAAGATGCCTATGTCCCTGCCCCTCAAAAGTCCACACTGCAACCTCTCTTGTCCCTCACACACAGCCAAGGGTGTCGCTTTTTAAAGCTTAATCATGGCAGGTGATTTTGAGGTTCTCCTAACATGGCAACCTCATGTCATGTCCAAGAGTTTTATGTATATCACCTTAGCTCATCCCCAAGACAGGCCTGTGGGGCCACTGCAGCTCAGGAGGTGGCCCAAGACCAGCCGGCTGGTAAGTGACAGGGGCAGGCAGCTTCTCTTAACCATCCCACTGTTCTGCCTCCTGGTACCTATGTTCGTAGCCTTTGGACTATTTGGTCCAAATTAGGTCTGTACTTTTGCACAGGACGACAGGACTATAATCAGATAAGAACTATTGAGAAGTTACCACTTGACGCATCGACCGAAGTGGAGGCATTCGACAGCTCCCAAAGACGTGTAAAGAAATCTAGAAAAGAAGAGAAAAAATAAGTGGTTATACAGGGGGCCCCAGTTGGGTGTTACTGTCCCTACCACCTGCCTCTGCTTCCCTGCTGACCAGCTAGAACCCCTGCTGGATACCCAATGGGGCAGTGTAAGGGCGAGGGGGCAGAGATCTTAGGGGAAAAAGGTGTAGCTAGGCAGAGGCAGCATGGAGACTTGGGCTGTGCTCTGGTCGGTGTGGAACATCTGGAGGAAGAGGCTGAAGGCCCAGGTGGACCCCATCAGAGGACATCCTTCCTGTCCTGCATCTCAGACCCAGCAGGACCCTCTTCAGCAACCACCCCCACCCCGAGTCCCTGTGAGTGGCCTCGGGCCCCACAGCCACACAGGCCGGGAGTTTAGAGTTACCGGTTGAGGTGTGTGTCTCCCCAAAAGTGGTTCCCAGGCTGTCTTCTCTCGTGGGTGTTACAGAAACTGCAAAGAAAACAGCACGCGTTAAATCTGACCCCCTTGCTGGTCGGTGCAGGGGGTGGGGGACCCTTGGAGGGTTAGTGGTCCTGTCACATTAGTTTTTATTATTTGTTTTAATCCTCACCCAAGGATATGTTTATTGATTTTAGAGAGAGAGACATCGATGTGAGAGAGGTATATCAATCAGTGTCCTCCCATACACGCCCTGACCAGGGATCGAACCCGCAACCTCAGGCTGGGCCTGTTGCATTGCTAATTCACTCAGAGACTTGGGGCTAATCTCTGACCGCACACACGAGGCACCGGGCTGAAAGTCGGGGGGAAAGGAGGGGCCGGCCATGGCGAGTGAGGCTGCGTGTGCTGAAGCTCAGAGGCTCCGGCAGCCAAACTGAGATCCAGTGCGGACCCTGAAGGGGAGGCCCCTCCAGCAAGGAGTGGGCGGATCAATGTGTATTTGTAGGTTTTCAGCTAAAATGAAATATTGAAAATGTGTATGGATCCTATTTTAGACATTTTTCGAGTAACCAACCAACTAGCTATCCCGGTCGCGTTAGAAAAGGGTTCTTGTTAGAGCAGTGGTTCCTGAAGTGGGTTCCATGAAGCAGTAGCACCAGCCAGGCCTTGGCCTTGTCAAAAACCCAAGTTGTCAGCTGCCACCTGCAGCCCGGCACCCGGGGGCAGCTCCCAACCACATGCATGTGAACCGTACCCCAGGTACAGGGATGCACACTAGTGGTAGGAAACCGCTCCCCTGAAGCACACGTAAGGAAACGGACCAGCGATTTCAGAAGAGCCATAAGGAGCAATTGATCCAGCAACCGCTCACTGAGCACCTGCTGGCTGCTAGACCCCAGCCGGCAGGGGCGACGTTGAAACTACACAATGCCACCTTTGGAAATTTGGTCCTGTGGCGAGGGGCCCAGGGAAGCGGTCTGAGGTCAGGGGACTAGAGGCTCTGATGGAGAAGAACCCAGGAGCCTAGCAGAGTCACACGTGATTTCCTGGCACTGTACCAGGACATCCAAACAGGGCGAGCTGGCAGAAGGGAAGACGTGGGCTGACAGGAGCCCCAGGGAAGGAGAGACACTGGGAATAAACTGCCCCTTGAAAACAGCCTCATAAAAGACTACAGACACGAAAGGAAGCTTCCCAGCTGTCTCCTGGCAGATGAAGAAGTGCTTCCTGCGACCTAATGGCAAGCACATTAAAGACATTCTCACAGGGCTAAAAAGCCCCTACATTGGACTGTCCCCTCATTAATGATCCTCAAACTCCAAACCCCAAACCCTGGAAAAAATGTGGTGAGGGGAAGCGCAGGATTAACAATTTGGTAGGAATTCGTTGGTGAGCAATTACTATTTTCTCATTTTGCAAAACATCCACCTTGAAGAAATGGGACCAGTGAAAGTTAAGTGTTTCGGAACAGCTTCACAAAGCGAGGGAAAGGCTGCGGAGCCGACGCAGCACCCCCACACCCCCGCCCCCAGCCTCCCCAGCACCAGCGTCTTGCCTGGCCGTGGTACCTTCATCCCAACTGCCACACCAACGTTGGTACCTTCCAGTTAACTAAACTCCAGGGTTTTATTTCGATTTTACCGGTATTTTCTCTTTCTGTTCTAGGGTCCAATCCAAGACGCCACCTTGCACGTGGGGAGTTGCGTGAGGATAAAACTTTGGGAAATGCCCAGAAGGCTAACCCTGGACAGTTCCCAGGTGGTGTCTGTGCACCAAACATTGCAGGGGTGACCTCCTGCCCCTATGAGGCTGGGACACAACACCATTTACAGACGAGCAACCTGAGGCTTGCAGAGGCCCCGCAGCTGCTGAATGGCAGAGCAAAAGCACGGCAAGGAGTAGCAGGGCTTCCGTGGCCCCTCCGCCTGGCCTGCACCTGATGTATTGACTTTCCTCTAGAGTCTGAGCAAAGACCAGAGTGGGGTGCCTGTGCTGTGGGTCATCTAGTGCAAGCCCCCCCACCCCACCCTGCCCAGAGCCCAGTGCTGAGCTAACAGCTACAGTTCATCTCTGAGGCCCTCTGCAAGGAACAGCAAAGGTTAATGGGCCAAAACTGCTACCCAAATGCCAGCAGAACTCCTCCAGCTTCAAATGCTGGCCCAGCTGCTCACCAGCTGGGACCTGGGACAAGCCACGTAGCCTTTCTGAGCCTCAGTTTCCTCTTCTGCGACGTGGAAATAAAGAGACCTAAGTTTGGAGTTTTTAGCAGGTTTTAAACAAGAGAATATGGGTGTGTTGTGTATCTGAGTGCCTGGTGCAAAGTGAGCCACTGCAGAGGGTTAAGTCCACCTCTGGACTGCTAAGTCCACCTCTGGACCGCAAACACAAACACGGGTGTGCGTGTGTGTGCGTGTCTGTGTGCACAGCACACAAAACTTCATGGTAAAACCACAGGCTGCCTCCATTCAAGAGTACTGCTGCCTTAAGCCCCTTCGTGGATAAGGATGGGGCAACCCTCTCCCTGTCCTTTAGGGGCTGACATGCACTCCATGTCCCTTTCCAGACTCAGTGCAAATCCAGGGTTAACTTTGCACCAATAAATCTAGAGCTAAGAACACTGCCTCCCGTTTTCAAATGTTTCCATGGAAACACCACCCCCAGCCCCAGACTGCCCAGACCCAGCACCCACTGAGGTCCTCCCGACAAGAAGGGAAGGTAGAGTCCTCTAGCCAGCCGGCTGGTGTCACCACGTGCTGCACACACATCACACCCTGTGGCCTGCTCCCCATCACCAGGGCCCCAAGGGTTGGGCTTGGGTCCTGCTTTCATGAAAGTAATTCCCCAGATAAAACTTCATCTTTAGAGCATCCTCTAGAAGCCTGGGAGGTAGGGGAGAGAGTTCTAGAAGTTATCTGAAAATTAGGAAGTTTTTGCCCTATTTTCTGAAATTCATGAATGTAGCAAAAAGAGACATCAAGAAGGGGGATAGTGGAAGTGAAGAAGGATGGTAGAAATGAATGACAGGAGGGAGAAGAGAAAGAGGGAGGAAAGAGAAGGAAAAGAGAAGGACGAACCTGAGGGAAAGAGAGAACAGGAGAGGAGAGGAAGGAGGGAGATGATGCCAAGTAGGTGAGAGAGGAGAGTAACTGGGAGACTGGGAGGCAGCGAGAGAATGAGAGAAGGGCTGGCTAATTGCTCTGGTCACTTAGTTCTGCCACAAAATGACATTAAGCTTCAATGGTCGCCCTGATTTGCCCACAATTCTTTCACGTACATTTTGCACCTTGACACGCTAAGAACACAAAGATACGCTGAGCTACCAAGTTCAAGTCACTTATCTAAAGATGTGAGCAACAGACACACACTCAGAACATTAGTGATCTTGTCTGTGCTCTGCATCCACTTTTGCTTAGAAAATTATGAAGCCAGAATCTCCTGCAGAAAGAAGTCACACAATGAAACCCGACAGAGTCCAGCTTTCCTGACCGTTTCTGCAGCACCCAAACTTACGGCAAAGTTTTAGGACCTCCTAATAGTACACACCCACTCCAGGAATTTTCTCAGACCAGTCTGTGGATCGTTGAACTGAGAGACTCACCGAAAACACTGACTTAGGGATGGTCTTTTCCCACGGCAACCATTGCACTTCGCAGCCAGAAACAAAGTGAAAAGAGCCATTCCTTTCCAATACTTGCAACGACAACTATCAGCAAAGAACTGCCTCCTCCTTGATCTAAAAATCCCCTCGAAAACAAAAGTCTGGCACCCAGGACAAGCATGTATAATTTGCCATGACTTGGAGTGGCAGGAGTGAAATGAACAAATATAGCAGTTAGATATAATACCTGAAGACAGAACTTGACCCAATAGACACATCTCAAGGATGACTCTGGAGATCCCCATTTTGCTGGGTTCTTCTCACTTTGAATAAAAATGCCTTGATATTTATAGGCTCACAGCTGAAAGGAGGCGTGTCTCCTATCCCATCGCTGCCATAAATCAATAGAGAGGAAGTGAGGGACTTTGCTAACAGTCAATAGCTAATCTGCGGGAATAGTTTAGGTGTGTTAGATTGATTGCTGTATGAGTAATCTGGCTACCCTCCAACTGCAAAAGCACTGACATTCATGAGACGATTTCCAACTTCCTCGTAGGTGAGCCTCCAAGATTATCAAATGCTCCCTGAATATAGGATTCATTTTACTCCTGGAGAATCTGAATTCACAGGTGGGAGGTTGGCCCTGAGATTGGGTCAGAACAGGATGTGGGCTGCTGGGCAAATACAGGACCCGGTGCCAAGGGGAAAAGCATCTCTTTGGGCTGAGTTGTCCTGGCAGGGCACCTTCTCCTTGGCCGGGGGCCTTGGAAAAAGAAGGGTGGCCTTCGTGCAGACATGGATGCTCAGTAGAAGGCATTGGGGTGAGTCCATGGAGTCTGTGGGCCCATGCTACCCTGAGCCACAACTTCTGGATGCCACCCGAATTCCATAGCTCAGAAGTTGAGACACATGGGGCCTCAGACTGAGCCACAACTACTCACTTCACAGGGTTTCCTATCTTGCTCTTGGCATTCACACTGCAGGAGGCTTGGAGCTTGGCAGACCCACAATGCCAGCCCTGATCTCCTCCTGCCTTGCACACAATCCCTCTCCTTGGTTTTGTTTTGTACTTACCACTTTCCCCTTTGAGACCCCAGTCTTGACCACTGGACTCTGGTAAAGCCCCCCACCATCTACCAAGAAGGTCGCCTGTCATTTATTTTTACTAAAATGCTCTTGGTGGTTGATGACTCTCAGTTACGAGCATCTGGCTTTGCAGACTTGCTTCTGTTGTGCTAGCCTGGATGAGCAATGTTGTGAGGTCCTGAGGCTATCAGGTGCCACCTGGGCTCCCTTGCCATGAGCTGTGAATTCAGTCTCCTAGTGCCTCATTCTGGCTTCAAGGATACCATGAGCCCAGGTTTCAATCAGCCCCCAGTAAGGACTTAGGGCAGAATATCTGCCTTTGGCTTATCCAGATGAAATGCATTCATCCTGGGATTCATTTTCTAATCCTACAGCTCTTCCTCTTGTTCCCAATTCCCCCTCCCCCCTTGATGAGAATGAGCACTTTTCCAGGACAGGCTCATTGTTTTTCATCCTACTTCTCTCAGTCCAACAGTTGGTAAGTGTCAGGTGACAAGATACACATGTGCCAGGGAGTGCCCCAGACTAGATGGCATGATGGATTCCTCTTGCAGGGGGTGATGATTGGTTCCCAAAGTGCTGGGCTGAGAGTGATTATGGAGCTAGGTCTGGGATCATCAAAAATAGAGAGCTATGATAGATTAGTCATGTCTGCCTTGAGCACAACATAGAAAAGTGCCATAGGAATACTAAATATCTGTGTGGTAGAGAAAAGTAAAATGTGTCCTACCCCACAGAAAGCACTGCTTGGGCTGAGAGACAGACCTGCATGGTGACAACTATAACAGGGCATAGTAGGTATTAATACAACTTGCCGTGGGAACACACAGAAAAAGCATCCAAATCTGATGGCAGGGGCAGTAGCTCAGAGAAGGCAACTCCTGACACTGAGTCCTGAAACATAAACAGGAGTCGTTTGCACCTGAGCATGGGAAGACTGGATGAGAAATGGGAATGGCTCTACATGGCAGTGAGAACAGAGGCCAGAGAGACCCTGCCAGGGGACCCGTCAATAGCTCAGCTCAGAGCAGGAACATCCTGCTGGAGAGCTTGGTGAGATTTCCCCACTGGGACAACTTCCCCATTTTTGTCTTTTTGGTCAGCCCGACCTTTCTCCCTGTGGTTAGCAGTACAGACTCTCAGACAACAACGGTCTTTGAGCTTTTGTTCTGAAGACACCAGAGAGAAGGAAGTGGAGGGAACCTCCCTGTCATTTCAAAGCTGCCTGGGGATGTGCTCCAGATGGGAAACAGGTGATGTCACCAGAGCAGGGAGGCCTTAGATGTGCAGGAAGAACATGATGGGGTCACGGGCCGCCGGAGCCCAACCTGTCCCAAGGTGGTTTATAAAACCCTGTTCTGAGAGGTCTTCCTCTGGTGTGGAGATGGGGGTTCTCGGGGGACCCACCCCTCCAGCAGCATCAGCTCCCTCCCAGAAGGCGCACCTCTTCCCTGCCCCCGACTAGAAGCGTCAATGTCAACAGCATGTCTGGGTGGAAGACCAGAGCTACTGGGCTCCACTTACAACAGAAACTTTAACAACAACAGGAAGCAACCAGCAGAAAAGCTGGAAGCCTCCCGACTCACCAAAAGCTGAAAAGCGGAGTTCTCACATGGGATCTCAACCTATGTTGAGTTCTCACATAGACACAACCTATTTGAAGTTGTGTCTATCAATTAAGAAATAAATTTGACTTCTAGCCAATATGCAGGTAGAGGTAGACACACTTTGTCTCTTCACACAACCAAAAGTGGGACAACAGCAATTTAAAAAAAAAAACCAACCAGAACTGCCAGAAAATCAAATTGTATGGAAGTCTGGCAACCAAGGAGTTAAGGAAGAAATATTCATCTAGACAGGGAGGAGGGGTTGAGACGGGCAGCCTAGGTTGAGCGCAGTGCAGCAAGTTGGTGGCTGGCAGGCCGGGTGGTCCCATATTTGTGCGCAGATAAACTGGGAGGAACAACTGGGGAGTGAGGCAGACCGAGCAACCCAGGGTTCTAGCACAAGGAAATAAATCCCCAAAACCTCTGGTGGTAAAAATCTGTGGGGGCTGCAGTGGCAGAGGAAACTCCCAGCCTCACAGGAGAGTTTGTCGGAGGGACCCACAGGGTCCTAGAAGGTACACAAACCCACCCACTTGGGTATCAGCACCGGAATGTCCTAATTTGCTTGTGGGTAGTGGAGGAACTGTCTGAAAGCTTGTCAAGAACCGAGCAGGTGGCATTGCTCCCTCCCGGACCAATCCTCTACATCGAGTGCCACAACACAGCAACGCGTGTTTCCCTGCCCTAGTGAATACCTAAGGTTCTAGCCCTCAAGGTGCACAGAGACAAAAAAATATATATGGCCCAAATGAAAGAACAGATCAAAGCTCCAAAAAAATAACTAAAGTGACTAAGAAACAGACAACTGATCAGATGCAGAGCTCAAAACACTGGTAATCAAGATGCTCATGCAACTGGTTGAGTATGCTCAGAAAGTAGAGGAAAAGTGTAGGCTATGCAAAGTGACATATAGAAAAATATACAGGAAATCAACCATGAGGGTAAGGAAACCAGGACTTAAATGAACAATTTGGAGCAGAAGGAAGAAATAGATATTCAACCGGAACAGAAGGAAGAGACAAGAATTTAAGAAAATAAAGAGAGGCTTAGGAACATCCAGTACAATTTTAAATGTTCCAACATCTGAATAATAAGGGTGCCAGAAAGAGAAGAAGAAGAGCAAGAAATTGAAAACTTATTTGAAAAAACAATGAAGGAGAACTTTCCCAATCTGGCAAAGGAAATAGACTTCCAGGAAGTCCAAGAAGCCCAGAGAGTACCAAAGAAGTTGGGCCTAAGGAAGTACACACCACGGCACATCATAACTCCATTACTCAAGATTAAAGATAAGGAGAGAATCTTAAAAGCCACTAGAGACAAGAGACAGTTACCTACAAAGGAGTTCCCATAAGAGTATCAACTGATTTCTCAGAAGAAACTTCTCAGGCAAGAAGGGGCTTGAAAGAAGTATTTGAAGTCATAAAAGGCAGGGACCTACAACCAAGATTCCTCTATCCAGCAAAGCTATCATTTAGAATGGAAGGGCAGATAAATGCTTCCCAGATAAGGTCAAGTTAAAGGAGTTCATCCTCACCAAGCCCTTACTATATGAAATGTTAAATGGACCTAAGAAAAAGATCAGACAAACAAGCAAAATATAACCAAAGACACTGAAATTGAGAACAGGCTGACAGTAACCAGAGGGGAGAGGGGAGGGAATTTCAGGGGAAGCGGGGAGGGGTTTGAAGAAACTAATATTAAGGACACGTGGACAATAACCAGAGTGGGGTGGAGACAGGAGGGAGGTGGGGAGGGCTGGGGGCGGTGGGCTGGGATGGGAGTAAAGGGCAGAAAAACTGTACTTGAACAACAATTAAAATAAAAAAAGAAAAAGAAGACAAAAAATATGAACAGTAAGGTGACAACAAATTCACAGCTATCAATAACTGAACCTAAAACACAAAAACAAACTGAGCAAACAATAGAACAGGAACAGAATCACAGAAATGGAGATCACATGGAGGGATATCAGAGGGGGAGGGGGGAATGGGGAAAACATACAGGGACTAAGAAGCATAATTGGTAGGCACACAATAGACAGGGGAGGTTAAGAATGGTCAGGGAAATGGAGAAGCCAAAGAACTTATGGGTATGGCCCATGGACATGAACTAAGAGGGGAGGAATGCTAGTGGAGGGGGTGCAAGGTGGAAGGGAGGAAAAAATGGGACAACTGTAACCGCATAATCAATAAATATACTTTAAAAAAATATAGTGAATTAATTTAATTAAAACAACATCACGAGGACCCCCACCTGCTCCATGATTTAAGACCAAATCTGAGTCTCATCCCTGTCCCCTGCTTCTCGGCAATCACGGTGTTGCCAGCGGGAGCAGGTGCTCTCAGCAGTTGAAGGTGGGTGTGCGGAGCAAGCTCCAGCCCTGTGTCCCAGGGTCACTAACAAGTGGCCTTGGGCTGGGGACCCTCAGGTCCAGAGAGGGGAAGGGACATGAAGAGCCGGTCTGTTTCCGGGCAGCCCTCCCGGCAGACATTGCCTCCCATCAGAAGGGGGAGAGCAGGAGGCCTGAGAGAGCTGCCCCTTATCAGGACAAGCCTACAGCAGATGCCAGTGGCACACCCTCGGCCCCCTCATGACCCTGGAGAGCCAGAAGCCTAATCACCTCTCGTGGTTCTCAGA